TTACGTTGCTGCAACGCACCTGGTTGGTTGCCCGCTCAGATGCACCATGGCTGTCCCGTTTTGGTTATAGGGTCTTGGACTGAGAGGCGTTGGTCACTTTGTTCTTAGTTCTGTCTAAGTTCTTAGTTCACCATTCTCCTTCTCCACTGCTTCCGGCTCCCAAATGTCCGAAGGTTTCGGGGTGGGAGTAGGGTGTAGCTGGGAATGAGGCTTGGGCGGCTCCGGGGGTTGCCTTATTTGAGGCATGGACGGAGGTATTTGAGCTAGTTCCTCCCGCCGAGGCTCCTGGGTCCTTCCAGCAGGGCCCTTTCTTGGATGCTCTTCCCTTGGGCTCTGCATTTTCTTCAAAGAGTGGAGGGCATTGAGAACGACTGCCCCGGAACCTAGTTTGGTCGATTCTGGGCCTGGGGGAAGGCGGCTTGGGGCGCTTGGGCCCCTTTTGACCCTGCCTGGGTTTTGGCTCCTTCTGGATAGGGTCTGCTGTTGCAAGGTTTGGGGTTTTTGTACTCCACTTCCTTGTACAAATTTGATATGGAGTCAGCGGAGCTGATTTGTTTTGCGGAGGTTTGGGAGACCCCAGGTGCATACCTCCTGTGAGACCCTGCTTCATCCTCGACCAACCACCAAGCTTGACCCGGTTTCTCTCTTGATTTTGGGTCTAATTTGCCACATTGGATACGTTACGAGTTGCTGGCGTCTTCCTGGCTTGCGAACTGCCCTTTCTTTTCGTTGGGGGCATGGCATACGTTCCTGCACACTTGAGTGGTGGGAGCTCACTATGGTGACGCAAGTGTACTTAGGGGGGCAGAGGTCTTGGCAGTCTATCAGGGTTCAGGCATCCCAATATTTACTGGTAGTTAATATTCCTGGGTCTTGTCATGCCTGTCACTTTGGGTCGTATCCCTTGGCCTGGTGTCTCGCCTTCATTCTAACTGCATACAGTCTCTCTTCCTCGCTCTCCCTGGGGAGTCCCTCTCTTTCTTCTCCATGGGTAGGTAGCTTCAGGGAGCCACAGGGGGCTCTTCTCCCGGAAACCAGCATTGAATGTAAAGGAATGCCCCTTTCTGGGTGAACCCTGGTGGCTCCCTGATTCCATGCCTCCTTTCCAGGTCATTAGTTGGGGGGGTTTGCTTGCCCATCTGTTTCAGAACTGAAGTAATAAACAAAAGGTCACCAGGAGCTCTGCCCCTTCCTACTAATGGGGTAGTGCTAACAAACTTGTTTTTGTTTCAAGAAATTCAATTTTTTGTTTACATTGTTAGGTGAGATCGTTAAGCAGTTTCAAGGCTTTGGTCTCTGAACCCAGCTGTTGTCTATTGGTTCACTGACTTTGGACGTTTTCCATGTGGGGGTGGCAGAGTCTCACCTGCTCTCTGTTTCTGTGAGAGGGGGACCAGACTTTTGGCTCTGATCTTCAGTAGGCAAAACAGAACTTCACAGCTAATGTGTCCTAGTAGTCAGGAGCCAACTTGGCGAGAGAGCTTCAGGGAGCCATCAGGGCTCATCCAGAAAGAGGCATTTCATTACATTCAACATGGGTTTTTTTGAATGTCAGATGTCAGTGCTTGAATGCAGTAGTCCAAATGGATTCATTAGATATTTGCAAATGGATTCTATACATGTAGGGTCAGCATAAAACATCCACCAGAAATTTACCTTGTACAGTAACTGCCAGAATTAGGCTGGGATATTAACACTTTCGCGCTCTCCGCAAAGGTCACTCAGCCAACCGAATGTGCGCGCTGCGTTTTTATCGCTTAAGCGTAAAAACAAAAATGTGTGTACTCTTTTTACTCTTCTGACCTTAGTTCTCATGCTACGTATTTCATTTTGGTACCAACGTGTTCGCAATAAAATTCTCTAGAAGAACATCAGTAAAAAAAGTCACGAAACGTATAGGGATACCAGCACCAAATAAATAACTACGAAGATGACTCTCCGTGAGCGCCCATCAGCAACAAAATGTTTTTACTCTTGGGATTGTAATCACCTCCACACTTATTCTACAGCGTTAATTTTGGTATCAATGGACTCGCAATGAAATTCCCAACACGGTGATATGAATATAAGCGTAGAATAATGATGCAGCCCGCCCGCACGAGTGTGGGAAGTGGTGAAATTGTTACCCGGTATCGGTGACGGGACGACGCACGGCGCTTTGAAAGTTTATACTTATTTCACTCTCATGACATTAATTTTCTATGTACGTCATTCATTTTTGTGTCAATGTGTTCGCAATAGAATGATCTATGTGCCCATAGGTAAAAAATATCAACAAAGCGTAAGTTAGAATAGCGCCAAATATAAAACAACGCTGGAACATATCAGTGAGCGTCAAACACACACGAAATGTTTTTACTTTTGTTATGTTTGTCAAGTTTATACTTGTTGCACACAGTTATTTTTGGTTGTATATTGATCGGAATAAAATTCCCTAAACAGACATATGCATATAATACATGATATGGGGGAAGCATTACCAGTATAAACGGCTAAAGTCACCCACCTGCAACCCGTTTGGGACAAAATACCATTTGATCGAAGTTATCCACACCTTTCATGAACTTATTGTACCATGCAGCCTAGTGGTGAGAAAGAGAGCCTCATAGCGCGCAGTTTGAAACAAACCCAAAGTAAATCGGATAAAAATTGAATTTTATACAAATATTTTAAAAGAGGACTCAACTTTATGTCCACTATGCGTTAGCGTTAGACGAAACGGGACGCGCCGGCGCGTCCAGATAGCGCGAAAGTGTTAAGTATGGCAGGTAATGAATCTCCCAACAGGGAGCATTCCAGTTGTAAACTGTGAACTAGAGTTAGAACTTTCTTCAATGCTATATTAATGAATGACCAGTTATCAATGATTGTGGACCAAATGGCATGAGATACTTGAAACTTTGTAACTTTTTAATTCACTCATGGATATTGGAAGATATTCTCATATGTCCTTATTTATGTGTCAGCAAAGGCATAATGCTTTGCTTGTGATGGCCAGATCTGCAGTTTTACAGGTACAATATCTGTAACTTTCAGTAAAGCTGGAAAGATAAATACCTTGTACAGTATATTCAAGAATTTCTTTTTAGCAGGATGATAAACATGAAGACACCATCTTGAACTTTGAAGATATTAAGGAACTTGATGGCATCACCGAGAATATTGATTCAAGTGAAGATGACAGCACATCTCAGGAGGAGGAAGAGGAGGAAGAGGAGAAGGAAGAGGAGAAGAAAGAGGAGGAGGAAGAGGAGAAGAAAGAGGAGGAAGAGGAGAAGAAAGAGGAGGAGGAAGAAGAGGAGGAGGAGGAGGAGGAGGTGGAGGTAAGAATACTACTGTAGATAAAGTCTCTCCTAAAAGTATGCTGCAGTTACATTAGCTCTTGCAAAGGAATTACTTGGGTAAAGTTTTACCCAATTTATTTTGAATGAAGTGGTGAATAGGTCTGTTGCACTGCATTAATACTTTGTAACAAGTTATGTTGCTTGTGAGTCTTGGCAGTCACATTTTGTCGTTTAGTGATTTGATATTTATTGTGACATGTCAGACTACATTTCAGGGTAATTTCAATGTTTAATAAGTTATATATTGTGGTTGATACATTTTCTGTGGGGAACCCCACAGGCTCCCCAGAGTTATACCGGGCTGATATCTATGTATTAGACCTGTGGCATCAGTCAGTTCGAATGGAGTTCTAGCCTACCAGGGACCACGAGCCAGAACCTGGCCCCCTCAGAGAGACACGAGGAGCATTGGCCTATAGAAACCTCCATGTGGTTGGAAGCATTCTATGTCTACCATCTACTGAGTTAGGCACCCAGAAAGGTAGGCGTTCCAAAGCAGACCCCAACTCGTGAAACAGTGCTACCTAAAACCGAACTGCTAAACAGAACTTCCCAATCTGAAAACAAGCAAACACGCATGACGTCACACCCAATGTCGCGCCGCCTGTCTGCGCAGCTTCCCTTTCCCCGGGAGGGGAAGGAGGATGCAGGCTATCCACCCTCAGTTCTGAGGTGGATGTGTTGCATGGCAGTCGTTCAATTCTGCCTCTTGTCTCTGTGCAGTGCTGTGCCCTGGCGGTGTTGTTCTGCTGTGTTGTGGTGTGCGAGCCAAGAGTAATTTCAGAAGTACTGGGGCTGCATGCGCCTAGGGCTATCTTCCCTAGGTACCCTGTTCCCGCTGCCGAGGCTTCTGGGTCTTACCAGCGGACCCCCTTACTTTCCTGCCTTTCCGCTGAACTCTGTCTTTTCTCCTGGGGCAGAAGGTGTGTAGGACAGCTCTGCCCCGTGGCTCCTGTCAGAGGTTTCTCGGGGCTTTGGGGGGAGCCTGCTCACAGTGTTGGGCCATTGTGCCTTCTGGGTGGGGTGTTCGTCCCCTCCTTCCCGGCTGTGGGGGCTTTCCCACATTTGTGGGTGTTTTGGTGCGTTTGTGCCAGGCACGTTACCATTTAGTTGCTTTCTTTTGGGCGACCATTTTCCTGTGAGCGTTTTCCCGGTTTGCCACCAGGGCGCGCTGCATTTTTGTTTCCTTGAGGCTGTGTGTGTTGGCTCACTTTTTGGGGGACATTTGTCGCCTCCTACTGGAGGTTTTATTCTCCTGCTTCCATTTCTCTGTATGTAGGTATGATTGTGTGTATGTTTGTGTTGATGTATGTGTACTTGTGTGGCTCTCTCTGTTTTCTGGCTGCCTGTTGCCATTTTTCTTCCACCAGCGTGTTTGGTAGCTCAGGCTCCCCCCTAGGTGCATTTCTGGGTTCCCTTGGTTTCTTTGGATTCATTTTCGGAAGTTTTCCTCCGAATTTCCCTAGGGAGAGGTTTGGGGGATCCTTGGTGGCTCTTTCCTGTGTGCACAGGCCTTGGCCTCTCCTCAGGCCCTAGCCTCTAATGAGTGTGGTTCCCTGTAACTCCATCCTGGGAATCTTTGGTGGTTCCTGGGACTTCCTGGCTTGCAGACAGCTCTGCTTAGGCCTGGGGCCCTGGCTTTTTGTTTTTCCATATTTGAAAATGTCTGTTTTGGTTGGCATTGTGTTTTCTGCTGCCTTGCGGGAGGCTTCTTCTTGTTGCCTTCCTCTTGCTGCTTTTTGCTGGTTCAGGGAGGGCGTTTCTCGTGCTCCCAGGCTGGTCATGTCGGGGTTCAGGGAGGGCGTTTCTCGTGCTCCCAGGCTGGTCATGCCGGGGTTCAGGTCTCTGCTTGTCGAGGTGGGCCTTGGTGCCACCTTCTGTGCTGGTGCCTCCTCCGGTTCTGTCTGAATTTGTGCTCGCTCTGGTCATACATCAGCTTCTGGGGAAAGGGGTGGCTGGCACTGTTTGCTCTCACCTGGTCCTGAGTTTGGTTGGCATTTCTGGTTGTCTTCTTCAGCCTATGGTGGTGTTAGGTGGCTCCTCTTTCGGGGGTTTTGGGGCTTGTGGGGCTGGTCTCTTTCCCTGTGTTTCATCGAGTCGTCTTGAAGTGGGTGCGCTTGGGCGTGGTCGTTCCACCTCGTACCTCTGGTGGGTTTCCGCTGCTTTTCAGTACTGGAACAGGTCTGTGCGGTTCTGTGATTTATTCTGGACTTGTCCAGTCTGAACCGTCTGAACTTCTGAATCCTTACCCCTCCTTTTTGGATGACCTCTCTCCCATGTACAGCTTCTTTTGGAGCTGTACATGGGAGAGACGTCCCCGTACAATGGCCGGGGACGTGCTTTGGGCTGACCCAGTTTTCCTTCTTCCCTGTTCTAGGACTTGGGTCTTCCAAGTCGTCCGCAGGGTTATTCAGTCCAGCCACCCTGCGGTCTTTCCTTGCGCCCATGACATTTGCCAATTTGCTGCTTTAGTTGCCGTTTTTTGGTAATGTGTCTTGGGCTGACATTCGGGCAGGAGGATTTTGGGGGTTGAACAGGGTTCTGGCTGCCTGTTACCTCGTTATTCCTGGTCCTAGTTGGGCAGGTGTTGCTTTGGGTTGCAGGCTACAGCCAGTTGTCCTGACTTCGATTTGAGGTGCAAGTGGCAGCTGCCTCCTAGGTAAGTCCATCTTTTACTTGTCTTTGGTTAGGTATCTCCGGGGAGCCAGAGGGGCTCTCCACAGAAAACCAGCGTTGAATGTAATGAAACGCCATTTTCTGGGCGAGTCCCGGAGGCTCCCTGGCAACCTTCCCTCCTTACATTTTCTTTTTTTTTTTTTTACATTCAGCCTCTGAACTGAGGATGGATAACTGGCGCATGTTTTGGCTTCCACGTTACCCTCCCGGGAAGGGGGGAGCTGCACAGACAGGCAGTGTGGCGGTGAGTGTGACTTCATGCTTGTTTGATTGTTTTCAGATTGGGGAGTTCTGTTTAGCAGTTTGGTTTTAGGTAGCACTGTTTCACCAGTTGGGGTCTATTTTAGGATGCCTACCTTTCTGAGTGCCTAACTCGGTAGATGGCAGACATAGTATTCTTCCAACCACATGGAGTTTTCTATAGGAAATTGCTCCCTGTGCCTCTCTGAGGGGACAAGGTTCTGGCTCGTGGTCCCCGGTAGGCTAGCACTCCATTCGAATTGACTGATGCCACAGTCTTATACACACATATCAGCCCGGTATAGCTCCAGGGAGCCTCCGGGACTCACCCAGAAAATGGCGTTTCATTATTTTCAACACTAATTTTTTTTTTGTATTCAGTTTTTTAGCAATTTGAACTTTGCATTTTGAGGAAACATTTTATCTGGCAGCTAATAAGAGCAATGCAAGACCGTAAATATATTCCAATTGCTGTTAATATGTGGTGACCATTCCCAAGTTTGTTCTATGAAAAACATGTTTATCAACCCTTCTATTAGAGATGGTTTAATAGATCCGGTATCCACATGGTATTGTTTTGCTCTCTCTAATCATATAATAATATAGAGGATCCATTAAATCTCCTTTCGCAGTCCATAAAGTTAATTTACACTTTTGTATAATGCTTGCCATACAAAATCTGTGTAATGATTATGGACACATACCATACACAATTGTTATATAGATGCCAGACATGTGCCATGTGCATACACAAACATCCCTTCTCACATGCGTTATAGCATTATAACACATGATGCAACTTATCACTACACACTGTACATTAATCACCCTACACAAAACTATTGGACAGAATAAAAAATTGACATGATCACCATGTACAAAAGTGTAACAAGAATCGACAATACTGATAAGAAAGAATTTTTTAAATCTGCAGCAAAGATGCTGAAAATATGTGTTAATACGCTTTTGCAACGAGAGTGGTACCCACCAATCCTGTTTATAAAGACAATAATCAGCTAATCAGAAAGTGCACATAACAAAAATATTTTGGCCTGTATAGTGACATTTCAAGTGACTTTCTCAAATAAAGACTGCAACTACTAAAAACACTCACTGGTAAGCACATTGTTATCAATGTCAAATATGTCAGATTGTCCATTACATCCCAAATTAATACTAGGCCCTACATCTTAAAAATGACCCCCAGCACTTGGCTGAAATCATTAGAAACAAAAACAAAATATATATATATATATAGCTGTGAGGATAATTCTTTGGTGCCCCCAGATGCACAGAAATCTGCACGAGGGAGAAGCTGATACTACCTGTCTTATAAGAAATAATTTATATAAGGCAAGGAACTAAACATGACATGTATCAAAGTAATGAGAGATTCAACATTACTAGCACTGCTTAGACCCAAATTGCCTTTGCTGTTGGCAGGCAAGTAAGTGCTACCAAAAAATATCTAGACTGTAGGCATACTCTCTAAACTCAAATATTATGTACCTTGCTCTACCCTGATTGCATTATATTATTCACTCGTATAATCATATCTCACTTAGAGTATATGCTAAAGAATCTACAAATTAAAACTACCTCAAAACAAATAATTACCCAACATTATCATCTGTAAGTACAATTATACATGCTTGATACCTGATACCTGCTTGATGGGGTTCTGGGAGTTGTTCTACTCCCCAAGCCCGGCCCAAGGCCAGACTTGACTTGTGAGAGTGTGGTCCACTAGGCTGTTGCTTGGAGCGGACCACAGGGCCGCTCCAAGTTTACTTGCAATTATGTAGCAAACTTAAGCTGCAGACAGCATCCAGCACCCTTAAATCCTTGAATACACAGTATATACTAGTATATTTACAGTACATACTAGTATATTTACAGTATATACTAGTCTATATACAGTATATACTAATATATATATACATTATATACAAACACACACACACACACACGCAAGTATACTCTATATCTATAAAAAACTAAATTGTAATACTAATCCCGACCTCGATAGGATTCATTGGGTTGCTTGGCCTAGTAAGTTTCTCTTTTTAGCTTGTGTAAGTTTGTCGGTTATTAATCTATGCATCATCGTGAAAAGGTGTTAGTTTTTGGTTGAGGCATCAAATTTTACTTGAAAGATTATATTGTATATTTTTATTTAATTTTTAATAAGTATGATTGAATATTGTCTTTCAGAGGTCAATTTGTAGTGACGACGATGAGACTGAGGATGAAGTACCACGCATGTTTGATACTGATAATATAGTTTTTTGCCAAATTAAAAAGGTAAGTTTTGTCATATGTTTAAATAGTATATTACTTTAACAAGAAAATAAATATTACTTAAGTTTGTAAGCAGGTATCACAGTATTGATTGCCTTAACTTAAGTAAGGCATTTTGAATCTAGGATTGACAAACTAATGTACAGTGGTACATTAGTTTGTACCGAAATTAGTTTGTACATTCCGAAATCGGAATGTATCATTCTAGACCCAATCTGGGTTCATGATAAATCTGGAGTTCCAAAACATTGCCATTCAAGTTAAAGGGCTCAAAGCACTGTATTTGGGATTAATTTGGATGCCTTGGAGTTGGCCCCTTTGGGGTTTTGGAATCTGAATTTGGAGGTGTTGAATTATACCTGGGCTAAGTCTGCGTCTCCGCTTCCTTTCCTTAGCAGGTGTGCTTCACCCTGCTTCTGATCTAAGATATGTACTATTTATTTTATCTGGTCTTAGATAAGTTCTATATTTTTTAAAGTTAACTGGAGCTTATATAATCTTGGATTTTTTTTTTTAAATGTTCTCATTTTTATATTTTTCTGTTAACTTTAGAATTATGACGCTGTAACTTATGCTGGTCAGAGTGTATCATTCATTTTGTCTGGTGCCAACAGTTTGCCATTACCTGCACGCTTCCCATTTTTCTTCAGTGAAAGCTTTGTTGGTTGATCCCGTTTTGTTGGTTCCCTGTTCCATGGCTTGTGTATCTTGAGCTATCTTGTGTATCATAGCATCTTTAAAGCTAGCCAGCCTGTGGTCTACCTTCAGACCCATAATGTTTTCAGATTTGCAGCTTTGGCTGCCTTTGTCAGTCATGGGGCTGGATTTTGGGTTCAGGGGTTTGGGAGGTTGTCTGTATTGCTTTGTTGACTTTCTGGATGCTTTGCGGTGTGGGTGATTGTAACAATTCCCAGCGCCTTGTATCTCTGTGATAGGGGGCCAGATCTGGCTCTGGTTCCTGGTAGGCCAAACAGGACAGTTGTGACCCAGTAGTGGAAAGCCATCTCAGCAAGATAACTTCAGGGAAGTACCAGGGCTCTACCTGAAGGTGGTATTTGCATCACATTCAAAACTGGGTTTTTCTTCACTTGTAATGTTATTACTTTTTCATTTGTCAAAGCATTACATTTGGAGGTCAGGTTCTCCTCATTTAGAATTTTTTTAATTTACAGATACGTCGAATGAAAACTAGATGGACTATTTTTTTGGAAAATTGTATCGCATCAGTGAATGGGAAAGAATATTTCTTCAAGAAAGGAATAGCAAATGGGCGTTTTTTAAATTAAACATGTTTTGTAAGTTTTTGTATATTTAACTATATTTTGATGGAAATAAATTTTATTTGAACTGAAGGCATTGTTTATTTCATTAAGGTCGGCAATAGAGTTCAATGATTGTAAAATCTTATTTTGTACGGTTTTGCCATTAAGTTAGCCATTTGTCATAGTGTGATCAGTTAGCCATTTGTCATAGTGTGATCAGTGCTAGTGTGGTGGCAGACATAATACTTGATAGCAGTAGCTGTTGACATCTACTGAGTACAAAACACTGAAGTAAATTGAATTATGTTGAAGAATGAAACATTATTTCAGTGTTCGTTACTCCTCATGCCTTTTTGAGAGCGCCAGGTTCTGACCCATGGTCTCTGGTAGGCTAAAACTCCATCGATTGACTGTTGACACGGTCTAATATATACACATCAGCCCAGTATAGCTCCAGGGAGCCTCTGGGTCTCGCCCAGAAAATGGCGTTTTCTTACATTCAATGCTGGTTTTTTGTAACTAGAAATAAGAGATTTATTAAAAAATCCAGAGATGTTTTTAGTAAAGTAGTATTTTTAACATACAAAGTTCATTTTTGGCCAATATTTTTATTTTACAATATTGAATTATAAATTAACATTGCTAGTTATAGTATTGCAACTCAGTGAGACACTCAGGAATTTTCTTATGAGGGATGGGGGGATAAGGCAAATATATTGTACTTATTTATTTATTTGTGTTTATATTTATGCAAAAAACGAACAATGGATTTAGTATATAACTTCTTAAGTGCTAGGCATAAACATTTCTATAAAAGCAAAAGAGTTGATGCAGACTTCTGTAAATGGTTGAATGTGTGCACATTAACTACAAGCTTTTAATTAGATTACCGGTATTTTGATTTATACAGTATTACATTAACAAAATTTATGTATTAATATTTATGTAAAAAGTATTACAAAAATTTAAGTTAATAATTTTTTTTTATTCAATCCTAATGTTTTGATATGTGATTGCACAATTACCAGCTTTGTTAAATTTATGCATTTTATTCCAGATTCACTTTACCAAACACACTATGGGAAGGTATTAACAGTAATTTCAAATGCAGGATTCAAGTTGATCCAACCAGTATGGTCTCTCGTCAGAGGCAGGAAGCCTGTACGTAGACTTGTCAAGGTCTTCCCATGCCAACTGCTGACTTCGCAGTTTCCATGGGTGCAGAGCATTTTTTTTTTATCTTGACGCTCAACCAACTTGTCTCTGGCATTCATTTTACTACATGTCAGATCATTTTTTTTATTGTCAAACATACACACACACAGACACATGTACCCTTGAGTACCTAAATGAACCTGAGAGACATTAGAGAGAACTTTTTTAGTGTCAGAGTAGTTAACAAATGGAATGCACTAGGCAGTGATGTGGTGGAGGCAGACTGCATACACAGTTTCAAATGTAGATATGATAAAGCCCAATAGGCTTAGGAATCTGCTCACCAGCTGATTGATAGTTGAGAGGTAGAACCAAAGAGCCGAAGCTCAACCCCCACAATCACAATTAGGCAAGTACAATATACACAAATACATGGGATGTGCAAGTCAGTCCTGCTGGACTGCTACTTGTGTCATTCATTATTATGTGGCTTAGTTGTGGGCTCATGCACTCAAGCTTAGGGGACATGTCACCTAGTTGTGTTTGCTGGGGTTGAGCTCTGGCTCTTTGGTCCCACCTCTCATCTGTCAATCAACTGGTGTAGATTCCTGAGTTGATTGCCTGTGTTGGTTGAAGAGGGCCTTCAGCTGTGCCTCCCTTTCTCCCTTTTGGAAGAGGATGTTGAGGAGGTACTATGACTTATCATCATCCATTTTATATGGTCACTATACATATGATCCATCAATGATGACACTGACCTTATATGTAGGACAGAAGTGACCATCTTTGGCTACATGGCACTCAACATGTTAATAATAATAATAATAATAACAGCAATAATAATAATTTATTTGTAAGATATACAATGGATCAGTTTACAGTGGTTACTTAGTCGGTACAGTACTGTACTGTATTTCTCTGTTTTATAAAGCCACTAATATGGGCATAGCTTTAGCTATATTTTTGTATTGAGGTTTAATTTTTTGGGTAACTACTAAATACAGTACAACATTGCTGTAGATATAAGCTAAAATATACTGTATACAGTGGCACCTCAACTTACGACTTTGCTTCGACTAGCGACTTTGTTGAAACACGTTTAGGTCGACCGAGTGTGTGGTTCCTGGTGGCACGGGTAACCCTGCCTCAGTTTACCAGAGCTGCCCGCTTAGTGACGATCGCGCTTGTAAAGAATTTCATTGTTTTGTGCTTTTTTGTTTTTTGAATATAAAAGTAATTATTATATATCATGCCATGGGTCCCAAGAAAGTCAGTGGTAAGGTTCAACCTCAGAAAATAGTTGAGTAGAGGATGTCCCTTCCTCATTAAGAAAATGTGTGAAGTATGGGAAGAAAGGAAAAGTTTTGTTGAAAAAACTCACCCAGATAAAGCTGTAGCAGGCTGTTGCATTGATTTTTTAAAATACAATGTGATGTCTCACTACAGACAAGTGTTAAAATGTAGGGAAAAACAAGTGTCTTTAGACAGATTCTTAGTAAGACAAGCAAGCAGTGAGCCACAACCAGGCCTTAGTGGTATGCCTGCAAAACGTAGGAGAGAGAGAGAGAGTACCGCAGAGAAGTCATCACTGCCTGATGCTATAATGGAAGGGGACTCCCCTTCCAAACAGTAACACCTCTCCTCCCCCAACCCCCCCCTCACTGTCTTCCATATGCCAACCAGAGTCCTCAATAAAGGTAAGATAAACATATTGTGTTGGAGCTAGAAAAAAAGTGGTATTCAGTATAAAATGTATTTTTAAGTTAATATTTTTGGGGGTGTGGAACGGATTCAATTTACATTATTTCTTATGAGAAAATTTGTTTTGACTTGCAGCCTGTCTCTGGGAACAGATTAAATTCGTAAGTCGAGCCCCCACTGTATAACAAAAATTAATAGAAAATACTGCTTTAGTTAATAGTAATTATTCCTTAATGAGCACATTGTCTATTCTATTTTTGGCTTATATGAACTTTAACCCTTCCAGATCGTCCAAACATTCATAAAATGGCATCCGAACAAGTAAGTCTCTCTGGTATTGAAACAAGGGTGCTGGCATCCATTTCTCTTACTGCCTTAGAAGCAAATCTTCACTATGAATTTCTTTTTGATTCGTGAAATTTTAGTGCTATTCACTCTATTCACTAGTAGCATTCACCAGTTGATTGTGATTATTTTCTCCCTCACTGAAATCATTAGAATGTTACTAAAGTCTTGGCTCTGATGCAGTGCCCAGTGATCCTTCTGCCCTCCCTTGAAGTGTTGAGAATCCTCAGCAGCGAACCTTGCAGTCCTTCAAGAACTTGGTTGCATTATAACTAATGCTTCCATGAGTATATTCAGGCTCCTACACAATGTACATAGTCCTGATGCCTGCTTCGAACATTGCTTGTGTTTCTTTTTGGCTTAGCTAGGCTATTTCATGGAAGAGATTTGTGTCTAGTATAGAGGACAGGCTATACTGCGTGGTGTACCTTTAAGAGTTCATTTGTTTGCTTTTCTGTTCAAAGGGCTTCATTCGCTTTACTTTTCTATTTCAATCTTTCCCAATGGCACGCTTCAGATGTAAGGCCAAAGCTGATTGAACATGTGTAATATTGGGAGGCTAATAATGAAGGTAATCATGCTGTTCATGAACATTGATACTTCATAAAGTCCACAAGTGTGTCTCTGTCGTAAACACCATTTTCGATTGCGCAAGAAGGTAATAGACCTTTAAGGCGATTAAGATCCGCATCTGAAATAGTAATTAATATACTAAGCATGAATTATATATATTAAAATAACCTAACCTAATCCACACATATTGGAATGAAAGTGATGTTTTGGTCTGTCCTCAACCCCTATCATGTAATTCTAGGGTGGGAAAAGCAGTCAACATTAGGCAAGACGGAAAGGGAAGGCAAAAGGATTTTAGGGGGTAATGGAGAAGTAAAGCATGAAAACAGAGCATACATAGGAACCTAAAGAAAACTGCATAAGGACTATTTCCCACCTATATTCCTATATGAACTCAATTTTATGCATCTTCACATTCCCCCCCCCCCCCCCCCCCCCCACCACCAATGCAAGTGTTACATGTGGTTCGACAATACGGTAAAAATGTGTTCAAGTGTGGTCTGACAAGTAAATATAAGCGTGTTTATATGTGGTTTGATGGGTCAGTCCAATTGTGTTAACGTATAGTTTGACAATTCGGTAAAAGTTTTTGAACTATGGTGTCAACAAGCCAGTACAAGTGTGTGTCTGTGGTGCTGATGAGGTAATAAAAGTTTGTTTAACTATTATTGAGAGAATGTTTACCTGTGATGTTGATGAGCCAATATAAATCACACCCGCAAAGAAGAGGGTTATTTGACACATCGATGGTTTCTGTTGTGTTTTTTAGCAGCTCTGAGAAAACATTTTCTGTCAGTTGTTCCAATAAATTGTGAGAAACATTAACCGTCACTGACCCAGACAGACCTAGGAGAATAGAGGAATACAGTATAATATCACACAATGTAATGCAGTAATATATATATATATATATATATATTAAAAAGCATATATATTAAAAAGCATATATATTAAAAAGCATATATATTAAAAAGCATATATATATATAGGCAAGTAATTAATAATAAATTATTTGCAAAAAAGAATTGGGAAAAACACATGTGGTATACTCAACATATAAGACTAACCTTGGAATGCTCCAGCCTCAATAGTTTCTATTGGGTTGGAAATAATGTTAATGTATTCCATATCAGGGGAACCAAATGCAAGAGAAGCCTCAGTCAAGGAGGCTAAGCCACTCCTGGTTATCTCAATCTTCTTTAATGATGAAAGCAACCTTAAAAATATTAGCATATATTGTAATGTGGTCAATAGTTACACAAACATTATTGATATTAGCATCCTGATCTTCAGACCATGTTTAAATGACCTATTTCAAAAACTCTGCATATTCTATGAGTTACAAATGCTATAAATTAATAAATGTAATTTTCATAAACCTGACACTATTTTTGTTGAAGGCTTTCAATGCAGCAGCTTTATTTTAGTCATAATTAATGTTGTTGGGGACATGCAGCCTGTTATGTACGTCAAACTTATATCGAGGCCCCCCCCCCTGCCCAGAATGCAACTCTACAACAGTTAATTAGCTCCAAAGTACCTATTTACTGCTAGGTGGACAGAGGCATTATTGATAAGAAATGTGCCCAACCATTTCCATCCCGCCTGAGAGTCAAACTGGGTTTCCCAGTTTGAGAACGGGAAAATCAAGAGGAAAATCTAACAAATGGTTAAATTTGTTAAGTTTGCAGGCAGAGTTGTAGAAAAAGTTTGGAGAGAAAAAATTATAAGGAAGTCAAGGATTTTTTCATTGATATATATGAAGCTAGTGTGATTTCAGTGCATGTAATTGATGTTGGTGTGTACGGAGTTGACTACCCACACCCAGGTGTTTGGGCCTTGTATATAAAATTTAGCATGGCTTCAGGAGAGGCCTCCAGACTTCCTGTTGATTCGGTAGAATCCAAGGTTTTATAGCTTTTTCTAGGTCAGGGTGGTATAGTGGTAGATGTTGTGGCTGGCAGTACGCTGGTTGGGGTTCGAGTCACTTAAGAGCTCTAGTCGATTTTCTCATTTATATATATCACATTAGTGTGATTTCTCTGTGTAATAATAATATTATTATTATTATTCTAAAGTACTAATTGGGAGGAGAAACCCTCCCAAAATTGGACACGAAACGTTCTAGGGATATATATATTACACTGAACTTATGTCCTAATCATGTTTAAATCAGAAAGTGTCCGATGCAAATATAGGGTTGCCCAATAAAAGGATTGTTCAGAAAACTGAACAAGGAGTCATTAATGACTGTACATTGTGCATGTAATACCAGTTCTCAAATAAGTGCCACCAGCATGTATAGACCATATATAATTTCACCAAATACAAAATGTGTCTTGAGAAATATGAAAAGGCATATCATTACACTAGTCATTGAGTAGAGAGATATGAGTTATGAGGCAAGATTAAAGGAATTCATCTTCACATCACTGATTAAGAAAATAATTCATATGTAGAATTCAAATGTTTTGGGAACTTGCTCACACGTCAGCTGACAGTTTAATTAAAAACAAGACCCCCTAAGGCTGTAAAGAAAAAATACATTGTGTATGTGTCATGTATGTATGTATATATATATGACTATTATAGCAACAATTATACTCACTTAAAAGTGTTCCCTTGAATACTGTTTACGTTGGTTTCTTGGAAGGTGATGAATTGTAGGTTTGGGGTTGAAGTGAAAAGGTTGTCTGGTAAGGATACAAGTTTTCTCATGCCCAGGAAGACAGAGGTAAGGGACGAGGACTCCAGCACAGGCAGTGTCTCATATGGCCCATTCTATAGATAAACATAGTAAAGATTTAAGCTACATTTTATAGGATATTCTATAGTTGATCAAAAGTTATTAAATATTTTTACAGCATGCAAACACAGGAAGTGGATTAGAAGTCTTAATCCTATCATTAAATTTTTTTTTTTTTTACACAAATTTTCTTGGATTTAAATTTTTTAATAAACTCAGTTTGCCATGATGATTTCATTTAAAGAAAGAAACTTTTATTTAGCTATAATTAAAAGTAACAATACTTCTGTATCTTATATAAATAAAAATGAAAATGTTCATTTCTTCAAAATTGCTAATCTCCAAAAGTTCTTCATTGATTGTTTTGAAATTTTCAAAGAACGTTCCGAGTGTGTTTTTATATACATTCTATATAGATGTCATGTCTGTGATGGCAGAAAACTGCTTTTTTTTGGAAAACTGTGTTTTCGTGTGTTTTTCATGAGGGGAAATCTTCGAAACATGCATATTTTTATATACCTGCTATATAGATGCCACACCTGTGACAGGTAAAAAATTTTTTTTTTTTTTAACAAGGCCATCTGTTGCACGTAATAGCAATACACACTAAAATAAATGTTACAATTCCATTTCAATATTTCCAATTGCATTGATAAATTGAATTTTCATATAATGTATTATTGCATTGGAAATGAGCTGTGTTGTTTACCATACCGTTTATTTCTTGAGTATAGCTTATTTTGTTAGTTTTTTACTGTTTTTCATTTTTTTTTTAACTGTTCTTCAAATTTTTCAGTGATGGGAACATTAGATCATTTGATGTTCCCATTTTTCTGATGGGAACATCAGATCATTTGGGAATGCATTGGAAGAGGGAGTGGGGAGGACAATGGGACAGGGGAGGGGGGGTAATGGTGAGGGGAACGGGAGAGGGGGTAATGGTGGGGAGGATGAAGGGACAGGATAAGGGTGGAGTTGGGGATGGTGGGGAGGATTAGGGGATGGGGGAGTGGGGGATGGTGGGAAGGACAATGGGAACAGGAGAGTGGAAAATGATGGGAGGAACAAGGGGACAGGGGAGTGGGGGGAGGACAAGGAGACAGTGCAGGGGGCAATGGTGGGGACACAAGACAGGCGAAGGTTGCTGTGGCTAAGCAACGAGTGCACGCATTGCTGAGCCACAGCAACACGTGGCTGGGTACAGCTAATATTTAAATATATATTTAAATTTAGTAAATTGTTAAATTTAAATTATGAAAACAATTACACCAAGTCTGAGTATGTGGTTAGGACGAGACTTTCATCTCGACGACTAATGAGGTCATTGAGTTGTCATTAGTCGTTGAGATGTAAGTCTCATCCTAACCATACACTCAGACCTTGACAAAGCACTCAGGAGAGTGCGAAAGACTTGGTATAATTATTTACATAAATTTCACAAATACATAAGTGTGGGTTTTTATCCTACATAACATCTCACAAGTGACTACAGTACTTGCAAGCAAGCAGACTGCTTTGGGATGAGGCATGGTTTTAGCGGACATTGCTTTGATTGCTTAAATAAGATTTTATGATGAAATTGAGGGATGTAGTGTGTGTGTGTGTGTGTGTGTGTGTGTGAGATGGGATAAAATTTCAGGAGGATCACTTACAATACCAATCTCAATAAGGCTGGTGAACTTAGCTAGGTCTGGAAGTGGCCACTGGTAGTCCCCATCGTATATCTCAGAGATGTGGAAATACTCTAGTGAGTTGTACATAGTTTCCAGCGTTCCTTCCTCTATCAGTGTAATGTTGTTGAATATCAGTACCATCCGGCTGGAATATTATTACATATTAGCTTCAAAGGAAATACACGAGGTCAACAAAGTTACCTGTATATTTTGAGTATACTCTCCTTTCTCTTCTATCCCTCGTCTCTCTCTCTCATATACATATATAATATATAATATATAATATGTGTGTGTGACCTGCTCATTGTATTCACTAATTTCACAAAAAATTTCACACTTGGAAACCTGAATTAAAGGTCCCAGCCAAAGTTATGGAAAATCTTCAGTTTCATAGCCCGCACTATAAACCAGCATATATGACGATTTTTCATTATTTAAATATCTAACAATCCTGCGGGTTCATCTTCATGAAAATTTATAAACATAGCAACCCTGCAACGGAAAATCATATCACAAACCTGAAATATACATCTCGAAATAGGCCCTTTTTAAGTGAGGTTACGTTGGAATTTTGAAGTTGAAACCAATTAAATTTGGTGAAGGGGAAATCTGCTGCAAAAATGTTATCAAGCTGCTCGTAGCTGGCGAGGTTGCTGCAGGTGAGGTTAAGGGTGCCTGAGGGCGAGTCATACAAACACAAGCAGGGATGGATAGCCGTACTCTCTGGGCACGGGAATGATGGCGCACTTTCCTCTGCAACATTAAACAACAACACTGTATATTAGGTTACTGCTATATCAATGTTGGAAACTTGTTTACAAGCACAGAACATTATAGTAGCACATTTCGAAGACCAACCATTTCCTTTACTATCGAGCCCTGAGGAGGAAGGGGGCTACCCAGTGGTCACAATACCCAAGAGTATATATATATATATATACTGTATATATATATATATATATATATATATATACTGTATATATGTTCAACGTTGATTCAATGCTGAATTAACGTTATTCTTGAATGATGTGCCCACTGGGGATTAGGCACCGATCCTATACCATATGCTCCATGCTAGTCTAGTAGTCATAGTGTCCCTTTACCGGATCTGTACCTCTTGTCTCGATCACGGCCCATGCCTGTGTTAGTATGTAGTGAACAGTTAGAGGGATGGGGTGTGGCTCAGAGAGGGGCATGGAGAATAGAGAGAGGTACTGAGGGGGCCAAAGAAGGTGTACGTAGGTGGACTAAGACGGGTACAGATAAGGGTGAGAGGTGGCACAGAGGGGTGGGGAGAGGCACGGAAAATGATGAGGGGAAACAGAGAGGGGGGGGGGTGATGAGAGGCACTGCGAGATATTGGAAGAGGTATAGAGGACTAAGGATATGCACAGAAAGGGCCGAGAGGGAAGAGAGTTGAAGCTGTTCTTCACCCGAGAGTCGCCGGCTGAAAGCCCTAGTCTAGTTTATAAATATAGTGAAGTAATGTTTGAAGACTTACCCTGGTGGAGGGTATGTAGCAGTGCAGGCCGCGGGGGACAGATGGCGACCATCATCAACACGCACACCAATCCTCTCACTCCTGTAACAAGAGTTATTCTCTTAGATGTCAGTTCTCTGAGCAAATGTTACTATAACAGTCGGCTCGCAACTGATTGGAACCAGAGTTCGATTTTCGGAAATGACTAGCCGTTTGGGTATGTTTCTTTATTAAAGGCTCGCTATAGGTCCTTACCATAGGCTCGCCATAGGTCCTTACCATAGGCTCGCCATAGGTCCTTACCATAGGCTCGCCATAGGTCCACGTGGCTTGTCATCTAAATAATGATAATGCCTCTTATTTGTACATAGGCACTGTACCGCGAGAAAGATTTTGTCATCCCGTGTGTATATATTGATAATATTAGGGCTATCATTCTGTGAGAGGGTGTGGAATGACACACACAGTATTGGTCTCATTCAGTGCATTGCATTTGGTGTCTGGCGAGTTTTCTCATGAGTGTTGGCGGTCTTCATACTTGTGTAGTAAATGATCAGTCGGATCTTCTGCTCAGGTTTGTTAATTATGTGTACACAGAACTTTTTTTCCCCTCTATTTTGTGACCCGTGGAAAATTAATTTCTAATAAAACTTTCAAGTGTGTGTGGTTTAACGTTGCCTTCATCAATAGCAGTTTACCTTCCTCTGGATGACCTCATCCATATACACATTTAGACAACCCGTTCTCGCAAATTTAATAAGTCAATATTGACTTATTAAATATGTGCATAGGTGACATACTTAACATAATAGATACCCTTAAAAAGATTCATACCTTACCTTACCTAACCTTGTTAGTATCTTAAGATAAGCATCTTATTGCTTCGTAATTACAATTATTACCTAACCTATAATAGGTATAGGTTAAGTAATAATTGTAATTACGAAGCAATAAGATGCTTATCTTAAGATACTAACAAGGTTAGATAAGGTCGGTGTTTTCTATGAATCTTTTTAAGGGTATCTATTATGTTTAGTATATCACCTATGCACGTAGTTAATAAGTCAATATTGACTTTACGAATTTGCGAGAACGGGTTGCATTTAGAGTATCCCTTGTTGCCAGTGACTGGCCTCACTGTAGTAATTTCACCATGACACTTAGGTGAACACTTCGGTGCACCTGACATGAGCAAAGCTATTTTGAAGCTAGTGCCTGGCATCTCTACAAAAGTATAGGCTAACCTCAAAGTAAAATACAATATTTGTAATAGAGTTCTTATCACAAATATCTTCCTTGTCCATAAAAGTCCTTGACATTTTACAAAGCGTCAATGTTATATAGGCGTCAGTAAACCACTAGAATTATGTTAGGCATCAATAAATAGATGGTGATGCACCTGGAATGGTGCCTTTTTTTTAATAATACCCATGAAGGTAGCTATATAATGCTTTTAGAATTGTTCCCGATATGGTAAACGATTGCTAGAGGTCTGTAGAATCGAATGGCATCGAAATTGAATATTTAAGAGCTTTAAATGTTAAAAAGAGGCAAAATAAATCATTCACAGACGATTAGAGCAGCAAGGTCAATCGGTTGAGAATGACAGGAGCAGTTTAAGGATTAATAAAAAGTCTCCAACTCTTGGAACAAACTGAAATTATTTAAGACCTGAAAATTTTTAGTAATTAGTTGTAGCTCACTTGGAGGTGTGCTACAACTGCCCCTATTGTTCTAGCTGGAGTAGTTTGAACCTTGTAAATATTAGCAATTATCTGTAGATGTTTAAACTAGCCTGGAGATATTATTGCTCACGTGGAGACATCATAGCTCTCTTGGAGACATATCTCCTGGTGATGCCAAAGCTCACCAGATGTTATTACTCAGATGTCACAGCTTACCTGGAGACAAGATAGCCATGGTTGATGGTTAGCGAGACAAAGATTGAGCCAAGTAAAACAGGCAGCGTCCCATATATGAGGACTGGACACTCGTCACACCTCGCTAGATAACACCGCCACTAACAGCTCGGGCTTGTAGGTAATCAGTGACCTTGTTCCCAGTACCTATGTAGGTTTTACGTTCAATTGTCCCTCTGGTTAAAACTTATATTTCAATCCTCTAGTAAGATACAGTAGTTTAGGTTAGTTCATTTATTATGCACCCCATACCCATCTTGAGGGCGGTAGTGGAAAGGGTTACAGAGGCACATAATGGGCTCAGGGACTGAACCTCACAATTCATTTAGCTAAGCAAGTTACAATCTTGATGAGCTAGTTACAAAATTCAATATAAGTCGTCACATCAACAATACAGTACATGGACAAGTATGTACTTTCACTTTTATCAGTCCACATTTTTCTTTTGAAAATGAGGTAAAATGGAGGGAATATTTGAAGGAAAAAAATGTAGGGCACGTAATATATCCAAGGCCTAAATAGATACAATTCTACATTATATAAATTTGTTTTCATTTTTCAACAACTTGACCTAACCTATGATTACCTAGGGAGAGATTAGGGAGCCGGTCGGCCGAGCGGACAGCACGCTGGACTTGTGATCCTGTGGTCCCGGGTTCGATCCCGGGCGCCGGCGAGAAACAATGGGCAGAGTTTCTTTCACCCTATGCCCCTATTACCTAGCAGTAAAATAGGTACCTGGGTGCTAGTCAGCTGTCACGGGCTGCTTCTGGGGGTGGAGGCCTGGTCGAGGACCGGGCCGCGGGGGACACTAAAGCCCCGAAATCATCTCAAGATAACCTATTTTAGGCTTCGGACAGCTTACGTTGTCCTTTTTTTTCTTGGCTTCCCTTTCACTTTACCTCATTTTCAATGGGACTAAATGTGGACTTGTATTTGTGCAAAACTTTATATTTTATCCATATGCCTCCCTGTCACTAAATACTACCTTACTAAAGGAAGGGTTCCGTACGCGTCTTAGTCCTCCACTGTGGTATGGCATCCCGCCTGTAGGTAGATTATACATAGCGATTGCGATATTAACCTGCCCGGGCTACGCAGTATACTTACTGCCATTTCAGCTGTTTAACTCTTGAAATATTTCAAAACCTTTTCTCCGTATCACTCCACAAGAATGGTAAGGGTGGAGCAGGACAGGGTAAAAGGAACTTCCTTACCATGGATAAAAAAGGCAGAGTTATTAATGCTTTGGTTTTATTAATAACTCTTGCCTTTTTATCCAAGGTAAGGAAGTTCCTTACCATGGATAAGTCTGGCGGGCAAACATTTGGCAGAGGAGGGTAGTTACAGCCCCGCTCCTGTGCCAGGTAAGTCCACTACGGGCTCACCATAGCCCGTGCTACTTGGAACTTTTTGTTCCCAGTAGCAGAATCTTAAACAACAACAACATTTGGCAGAGGAGTGTGGAATTGGTACTAGTGTTTTGGAAGGAGTAATGATGGAAAACGTTGCGACTAAGTAAATATGACCAGCTGGACGATGCTGTTTGTGTGGGGTTAATCGTGTGCTGTTACAGCACAGTGTGAGAGGCACTCTCAGTTGGCCTCAGCACTAGTATTGCCTCCTGCCTCAAGAGAGGCATTATTGCACTGTAAATACTGTTCAGTAAAAAAAAAAAACATTTTTTTGTACATTTATACATTGCAAATAATACTTATACCTCACCAGATTCATTGTTTATGTAGTATATGTGTCTAAAAATACATAAACATGTAATGTATCATTTGATATAAGAAAAATGCAGTGAATTTGGTGGTATATTGCCAAAAAGGGGACATAGTTTGGAAAATTGGATTTCCAATAAATTTTCCAATACATTACAATTAAAGATGTTTAAGGTTTGCCTGTACTTTGGAAATGAGTACAAATTAGGTTTGACGATGAAATGAACATTCCCTTACAAGTTCCAGCATAGGGAAACCATCTACATTCTACATAATGAAACTACTGGTTTGCTGACAGATACAGTCAAAGCTCTCGCATAAAGACAGTTCAACTCGATTAGCACTAAATCCTGTGATATAAGAAAAAATATATATATACAAACAAAAACAAATGTGAAAAGAAATATATTTTACTTTTTGAAGTACAAACAAAATTCCCATGGGACTGAGGAAGGACTTGTACTACCCCTGCTCGCCCCAGTTATCACCGACCTTGCTGATAACTAATTATTGTAACTTTCTTCTCTTGTCATAGGTCCAAGGTTGGGTGGGGGTGTGGGGTCACTATTTGTTATTGCTCTATCTCTGTCACCTGTTGGCATGTATTAGTTTTCTCATGGCCTCTGCGATGAAAAACACCGTGTAATTTAACCTTCAATGTTCCTGCGCAAAATGAGGGTAGTGTAATTATTAATTCTGTCCTTAGTGATCAGCTAGCAGCTGATGAGAGTACCACCTATCGAACTATCCAACATCATTGAAGCCGTTGAGCTCGCTTATTCTCCTTCATAAGTTATTTTCTATAACTTATCAATTTACGACCTCTGGCTACCAACTTAAACCATTAAATTACTCCAGCGACCTTACCCAAACTCTATATTCCCGCACAAATAATATTAAGAAATATAGGACAGCTATAAAGACTCGCTGACTTCGTGCTTCTCAGGGAATATGAAAACAACATCAAGTTGTTAATCTCTGCCCTGAGCAAAGGTAGAGTTGCAGCCTCCGATGAGGATGAGAACATAAAGAAGGAACTTTAGGAGGTCTATATTGGCCTCTTCGAAGCGGATTTATATCCACCCAAACTCACTCATATATCTAATTACTATTTGTTGCAACTCTCTGAAGCCTTCTTGTTGGCAATGCATTAGAAATCTGAGGATAACAAGACGCTATAATAAGACTGGTACTTACACAGTCGTAAATGGTGGATATTGAAAGTGCTCTGTATAGAAATGGATATTTATTAACATACTTTATTTTTAAAGCCATATGGGACGAACAGATACAAATATACAAATATGCCCACGTATAAGATGGCTGACGCCTGCATCAGGAAGACGAGGCTGGAGTGCTACACTGGTACTCCAGGAAGTCCAGTAGTGTGTCTTTGTCGTAAGTCCCATCAATGTCACAAGCTGAGTTAAGTCCCACTAGTCGAGCCCAATCAAGATCTGAACGCAAATAAAAATAGGTAAAGACACAAAGGTTACTATTACATTGTTACAATTAATAATGGTTATAAATGTTATAGTTAATAACAATCATTGAGACAAAAACACTGTTGGAACAAAAGTTTTATATCTTCCACATAATCTTTTGAATTTGAATTAATTATTATAAACGAGGAGGTTTTCATGGTGGAGGGGAACGTTGAGGTGCTGGTGGTAGAGGTGATGGCTGTGGAATATGAGGAGTTGGTGGTTGAGTGAGGTGCTGGTGGTGGTAGAGGATAAGGTATTAATTAATCAGGTACTGTACCTGATAGTGACTGTGGGGAAGTAGGGTTTATTTGTTTATGCCCCTGCCTACTTTAGTCTTTGTTAAACCTCTTGCAGTATAATTAATTCTCCTGCCGTTCAGATTTCTTGTCGTATCTGTCCTTAAGGTTATGGATGGAGGCGGCTTCCACAACTTATTTTAGTGCATGCTACTTGTTCACCACTCATACAAGGTAAGAGTCTTCGTCTTATTTACGTTTCAAAGTTCCATCTATGTTCTCTTACCTTACTTTCTCTCAATTTAAATAGTTTTCTTTGTCCACCGTGGTTATTCTCAGTATCTTGTATGTTGTGATCATATCCCTTCAGTTTTTTCTTCTTGAAGGCTGTGATAGTTCCTTGACCTATCCTCGTAACTTAACCCTTATAGTTCTGACATTATTCTTGTTGTGAATCTTTCATTTTTTTTAATTTTAGTTTTGTGTTTTACATATTCCAATATCGGTTTAATGTAGGCTGCGTATATTGACTAAAAATAGTCCTTAAAGTTTTTAAATGACACACTAATGATTTCCAGCTTCGCATATTCTGCTGATCTTATCCTGTTGATGTGTGCCTCTGGTGATAGTTATAAAATTATATCCACACAAGTTAGATGAAGATAGCCTCTTTAAATTGAGTCAAAGTAGGACAAGAGGAATTTGATGAAAGCTGGAATCGTAAATAAGTCGAAGAAATGTAAGGAAATTCTCATATCCTATATGGATGGTCAACAAGTGTAGTGCACTGAAAGAAGAAATTGTAAAAGCCACCTCTGTACACAACTTTAGGGCAAGATTTGACAAAAAATTTGAACGTCAGGCGTGTTAAATTATAACTCAACAGGTACAAGAAAGCTACTAAGCAGGGAATAAAGACTAGATCTTACTTCCCTGCAGTCACTGATAGGTAAGTACTACAAAGAGGTGGTGGTGAAGTAGTTGTTGGTGGTAGTGGTGGTGGTCGTAGATGAGGAAGGGGGGTGGTGGAGAATGAGGTGGCAGTTGGTACCTTTGTTGCTGACGAGCCATCTGAGGTCACAGCCACACGTAAGTGGGTTGTCTGACACGTCGATGCTTCCTGTTGTGTTCATCAGCAGCTCTAAGAAAGGTTGCTCCGTCAACTCTACGAGACTATTTTTGTTTAGCATGATATTAACGTCTCCTGATATTCCTGTGAGAAGTGATAGAAAGTGTGAAAACCTTCATAAACTTATAAATCTTAGTACGGTAGAAATAAGGACATTTGGAATTAATAGTCAGTAAATAAATGTTTATATCAGAAGGAAAAAAATATTGGACATAAATGTTAAATTCGTCATTGACAATTTTTTTTTATATCGACTAAAACGCTTGATAGGTTGGTATATCCATTAAAGGATAAATTTGCTAGTCATCGTACAATATCTTCATAATTACAATAATATATTTTCATTGTACACTTTTGTTTTCTGATATCTGTTTTATCACAAACAAACAGTTACTGATGTAAATTACTGATATAATCCATTTTCTGTTTTCTGTCCTACATTGTGGTTTGTTGAGTATGAAACTGTTACACCTGTACGTGTGAGTTACTCTGGATCTTTTAAAAATGAGGTCTGAATTAATATTTTATAATTTGTCTAGTATTTTAAAGGTCTCGATGAGATCAACCCTGTTGTGTGTATAGTGTTGTTAGTCTTGAGGCCCTCGACCATTCCTGTGTGAGAGTTAGTTGGCTTAGATCTGGGATGATTTTTTGTCGCTATGCATAGAATTTTTTTCCAGAACAGATATGTCCTTTGAAAGATGAACTCTGTATGTTTGGATACAGTAGTCCAGATGTGAGGGGGAGGGGAAGCGCACCAAAGATAAAGATACAGAACCAGTACAAAATTACAGATAAAGAACCATTTTATTTTTCTTAAAGTAAAAAATCGTTTGGTTATTCCTAACAGATATGGTAGGCCTTTTCATGCTATTCCTACTAGCTGAGCAATGATTAGTGGATCATAACTTCTAGGTCCTTTTCTTGTCACTCTACTGCATGGTCGTGGTGTAGTAGTTATGATGTGTTTTGCTAAGTTAATAATGTAAGGCATTAAATGTTTTGCAAGTTTCCCGACCATTTTGTGGAGTTAAAATAGTTCACTTTGCAAGGCCTCATTCCAGTTTTTGCTTCCTACTTTACCATAGATCTTAGTGTCATATGCAAATCTGATGATTTAGTTTGGAATTTTCTAATTTACGTCGTATACAAAGGGTTGTATATAATCTTATGGTGTTCGACTCAACATTTCTGAGAGGGTGCCAATTCAATCCACGCCAGGCCCTTGCAAGTCAATGTAAGCCTACCGGGGACCAGAGACTAAAATATTTCCACGCCCAAACAATCGGCTAAACTTAACATTTCTGTATGCTCATCTCACAGTGCACAATATGTCCATCTCTGAACAAAATGTTCAGAGGCGCAAGGAGTAGGAGATATTTGATCATCTTGACCAAGAAAAGGCCGCCAGAATGGTAGGAGAGGTAAAACAATCAGCAAGGTAAAGAAAGCATAGGCAATGAGACAACGAATAACTCAAATTAATGAATCACCGGGTCATGAGGCTGTTCACGTGTTAGTCAGTCAATCATCTTCAACAAAAGTTGAAGGCTGGTTAATTCAGCTGCTAAACCCATCATTAGTGAATAAAAAGCACTTTACCCATGACTTGCAAATTGATGACGTTTGACCATTCCTCGAGCAGTATTCGCTTACATCGTGTTCGAATCGCAATTCTGTAAATGCTTCACCCACGTAATTCAAATACAAATAATTGTCAACAGAACCTAAACACCTAACCTAACCTATGCCTAACTATACATAGAACTAATATATAATAATATTAATTCGTATATGATAAAAAATCTATTTTTAATACATAATAGGTTAAAATTGATGAATGCGTCTTGGGGATGGCCGCCGCTTAACGAGCCTTCAGGCCGAGTTGCATCTGAACACCACTTGGGTACCGGAGCCTCGAAAGAGACGGCAACATGGCGACGGCGTGGGCGGCACGCGCAGCGCCTCTCCCATTGAAAACCAAGATATCGCTGAGGATTCAAAGAAACCACCGATACATTGCATGCATTCGGATAATGGTGGTCTTCTGCACACTCAGGAGGATGAAGAAGGAGATTTCCTAAAGAGCAAAGAGATTAGAAGCGAAGCGCCGCTAGTGTCTAGAGGTAAACAGAGACCATCCTGGCCCCTCGCGTCGGCCCGAGTACCAACATCCATCGCTCAACCAAGGTAGGCTAAATTCTCTTGTTTCGAAAACCTTCATTATTTCCTTTGATGGAAATGCATTTACAGATAAGAGTGTTTTTGATAATACTACACAAAGCTTCATATACAATGAAATGCCTAAGATACTTAAGACTGAAGTGCACGATATAAAACCCAACAAGCCAAAGAACTTAATCGCAGTGGCCCACAACCACATCGAGGAACTATAGAGCTTTCTGGCATTACTGAAATCCGTGGATACAAAGTGCGATGCTACGAACCATTAGGCGACAGATTACCAAAATATGTTTTGGTAATTAACAAATTACCAAAAGACCAGATATGTTCTAGACATTAGTGAAGACATCAGAGCACAACTTCAAGCAGATGACATTCAAATGTACGGAATTAACAGATTTATGCGTAAAGCAGACGTAGAAATGAGTGATAGTCACAGTCCTATACTTCCCTTTCTAGTCTACTCTTCACCTGATCAGGTTCATAAACTAGAAGTATACATACCACGTCCAGCTCAGTGCTTTAGATGTAAAGAATTTGACCATACCTCGAAAGGATGCGCAAAAACATTAAATGTGGAAATTAGTACCCATTACACAAAAACATGCACATCAGACATTCTCAATGATCAAACTGTGATAGCAACCATGACAAAATTCGAACAATGTCCTTAATACATAGCAGCTAAAATTACTATTAGGACTCCAACACCAACATGGAATACAGTAGCGCACCGAAGCAACACAACTTAGTCCTTAACCAACCACCACTAATCACCTAGCAATAAAATTTGCGCACACCAAATGTCAATGTCACTAGCCATCATACACCCCCAGACGACAATTTACTAAATGCAGATCTCATCCAAACTGGCATTGAAAATACAATAGAAAAGACACTGGACAGACTCCTAGCTAAATTCTTATCACAACAAATCTAACCCAGCTCCGAGACTGACCCAACACGCACCCAGGTGCATCTACATATACAGAAAGTGCAATCCGACCAAACGCAACTACCATTTGCATAAACAAGATAATGGAGCTGATGCTGGATTGATTGATTGATAAAGATTAAGCCACCCAAGAGGTGGCACGGGCATGAATAGCCCGTAAGACTGATGCTGGAGAAACTACTAAATATATATACTTAGCAGACCTTACCCAAATCATCACCCTACAGCTTACTTGCCACAAAATACAACCACCAGCTCAGACAGAACCTCCCACCCCCACTCAAACCATTCTTAGATAACAGACACCGCTGCACTTCTGTAATGCCAAGAAAACAGATGCAGACGCCTTTTCTTGATTAAGGTGATCTAGTATTTCCTACACGTACGCCTCTAAGAGTTGGCCAAGTTTTGGCCTCTAGACCTCTGTAGGATTACAATGACTCATAAGTGCCCGTCTTGGATTTAATTGGGTGGAGCAGTCAGGTAACTAGCTCAAGGAGCCACCATGGACCCCATCAGTAAAAGGCGTTTTATGTTTTTTTTTTCAGTAGGATTAATTTCTATTTTGGACGACCGTTCGCTTAGTTTTAACCATTGTTTTATCTATTCTAGTATTTTTCGTTTATTACATGTGCTTGTAGTTTCTCTGGTAGTCTTTCACGTGGTACCTAATCAGAGCTTTAGAGAAGTTCACGTACACTACATCTATTTGTTTTCTTGTACAATACTTCAAAATTATATGAACCAAGTCTACTGAAAGTCCTTAGTTCTTATTTCCAAAAAATGCTAACGGGTTAGTTGGGCAGGAATTTTGTTTACAAAACCATGTATTAATTTAACAAGATTGTGCACTGTGAGATGAGCATACAGAAATGTAAAGCTTAGCTGATTGGTCTGACTACAGTAGTGTACACAAAATTAAATATTCTTACACATTGAAATATACCTTGGAATGCTGCTTTATCGATACTATTTATGTTGTTCAGATGAAGGTCCAGAAGCGTGAGGTTAGAACTGAAGGCCATGGAAGATGCTGTCAGGGTGTTTATGTTGGCGCCGGTTAATGTTAAGCTTTTCAGTGATTTGAGAGACCTGCAAATTTTAAAAGAAAACAAAATTTATATGATTCGGATGTCCACGGACAAACCATGTACAGTCGTTGCTGTCAAGAATTCGCATATTTCTCACAAAAGACTATTTCGAAATTATAAATTACTGTGCACACGAGATATACCATTGCCATTTCACAAAAAGATTTCAATAAATGCTGTATATTAAATATTTAGCAGATAAGGGTCACATAATTTCGAGAAACTGGCTTTAAATAATGAACTTATGCAACCTGAGAAAGAGTTAAATTTTGCCATTGCAATAGAATTTTGAAGATCATAAATTCTCTAGTAGAACAACAAAATGTTTGAGTCAAAATTAGTGCTGAGGACACTTATGAATGATTTTCCCTGGTAACTAATGATGAATACCCTGATGAATGCTCTTTATTGGTGTGTAATGCTGAAATTTGTGATGAATAATCTTAACTGGTGAATAGTGCAGATAATTATATTGATCTTCACTGGTGAATAATGCTGAAAAATGTATTGACCTTTACTGGGAAATAATTCTGAAAATTGTACTTATCTTTACTGGTAAATAAAGCTCATAACTATAATGAATAATCTGCAATGGTGTGTAGCGGTAGCAGTGGTGATCAAGTCCAACACCAAGCTTTTACTCACGAGAAGGTGCCTTCTAGAATTGTCTCTATTTTGGTGTCTTCCATTATGATTGTTTCGAGGGCTGTAGCAGCGGTGAACGTTTCCGGTGGCAGGTCCGTCAACTCGTGCACATTAAGGATGGCAGTTGTGAGTGTGGCGGACGTCAGGGTGGGTACGTTATCATACGGGCCAGACTGATTATGGATAGAAAGACGAATATTATATTTCAATGTCTACCATTTTAAATCGCGGGTGACGGGAGAGGGGGGGATTATTTGAGGAGGCTATGTCCTTTGAATATTTTGCTGTTTATTTTAAAATATGAGTGAAAAGTATGTATTAGGTCGTATTTTTAAATTAAGAGATGAATGTATGATATTTACCATAATTTTGGTAGTTTTGTGATATTCGTTTTATCTAAACAATAATCATATCTGTAGAATTTGGATGTGAACAGATAAACAAAATTGTTTGTCAGTTTACCGTTATTATTTTCGTAATGTATACCCGTGTAAATGTTGCGTGAACCGAACTTTTATTTGCGCGAAAGGTACTACAGTACTTACAATGTAAATAGTAGTTAGAATCTTGAACTGCTGAAGGTCATCATTAATAGTCAACGATAATGTCTCGCCACCTATTTGGGTGAGGAAGAAGCTCTGAAGGGTACTGTAGGAGGAACTCAGTGCCTTGGAGTCCACTGTCTCCAGCTGGTTGTTGATCAACATTATTACCCTGTTGAATATGACATGTATTGCTGGGTATTTTCCACAAGTACATGATGGTAGATAATAAGATGACGGTCACAGACGAATATACACACACACATACACTTTGAGTTGACATAGATGGAAACTGGGGACAAATTAGTCGCAGGGATGTCAAAAAGAATAAGAGTCGCAAAAAGGCGTTAGTCGCAAATAAGTGGAGTGGATAAAATAAAGAAATTGCTGAGTCTAACACAATACACAGTTTTGAATGTAAATAAGATAAGAAAGGCAAGTGAATAGTCATTGCATCAAACAACACATGACAGTAGATCTTAACTATTAATTGTTACCAATTCATCTATAATCAAAATATTAAAACGGTACCAAAATACATTAGGCTGTCACAATACAGATGCCCTACACATACAAAACACATTTCCTATTATAAACCATCAGATGGCCAGGCAGGCTCGTACACTGAAATTCTTCTCAAAATGTCTTCTCAACGATCTAATTTAGCCATATAAGTCCCAATATCTGGCAAGAGGAGTGTGTTTTACCATTGGGGCGATAAGACACTCTTCCTGCCACTATATGGCGTTCACACAGTTGTCTTTGCTGTCATTACACATGCTCCTGAGTTTTCTACTGGGGGTTGGATATGACCACTGCCATTATATCTTGTTATCTATAGTTAGTATACCTATTATATAGTGTTGTGTATCTATATTTGTTATATGTATTTTCTCAGAAACTCCACAGTAACTGTCGTAAGTGCCACTCTGTCCACTTCATTATATTTCTTTCCTGACTATCTGGTAGTTGGGAGGGATGGAAGTATGAGTTGGTCTACCCTGTGAATCATTCCAGTTCAAACCATTGGAGGATTAGGTGAAATAGGCTGCTGAGGTTGGGACAAGCGTGTTGCTGTAGGGAAAGGAAGATTTTTATTGAAAGAGACATGCTTGCATTCTCAGATTTTCATCTCTTGCTTTGTATTTTTTTTCTCCATACTCTAGAAGTTATCTTCAAGATCTCTTTCTTTCTTAATCTCTCTCTTCCTTTAACATGTCCTTATTTATATATACTTCTTTGTATTTGTGTGGCCTCCAACTTATCATTTTGGGCTCGACCAATATGAATGTTATCATTGCGCTAGTCTGAGACACTACCTGAACTGGGTGTGCATATCCTTTCTGATACTATAATGATTTTCTATTTCAGGGTAAGCATTATTTACCCAGAGTCCCTTCAAGATCTTGTTTTCTTCTTCTTCCTATAATGCCTCTCATAACTAAGAACATACGTTCCTTCGCCTCTTTCAGTATTTAAATAATAATAGATATATGCCTCTTCATATTATATAATTATAATTGTATCTGATCTAATGCATAGTACAGCCTGCTTAATCTTAGCAGCTTCAAACACAACTGAATTGATTACCCTCCCTACCTCTAGTTCTAAAGCTTCTCCCTTCATCAGCTGTCAGGAGCGCCTGATAGCTGAGTGGACAGCGCTTCGGATTCGTAGTCCTGAGGTTCCGAGTTGTTTATTTCACCCTGATGCCCCTGTTACTTAGCAGTAACATGCCAGTACCTTGGAGTTAGACAGCTGATACAGGCTGCTTTCTGGGGGTGTGAAACAAAAAGGAGGCCTGGTCGAGGACCGGGCCGCGGGGAAGCTAAGCCCCGAAATCATCTTCATGGGCTTGCCAGTTTCTCCGCCTAGCCACTTGGGGTGGACGGTAGAGCGACGGTCTCGGTTCCTGCAGGTTGGCGTTCAGTCCCCGACCGTGCAAGTGGTTGGGCACCATTCCTTCCCCTCCTTCCCATCCCAAATCCTTATTCTGATCCCTTCCCAGTGCTATAAAATCGTAATGGCTTGGCGCTTTCCCCTGATAAATAAAAAAATAATTGCCAGTTTCTCCGTCTGCCTTCACTCACATTTGCTTCCTCTTCCCTTATCTGTTATTTTCCAATTGTTTTCTGAATTTTCTGATTTCTCACCGCTATATGCTTGTCCATCTGCCCTACTGTTGTGTTTTCCTTTCTTGGATATCCACAATAACATACCTTAATTGCCCCAGGAGCCTCTCAATTACCTCAGAGCTGCGACTTCTCTCCTTCCTCACATCATCTCAGTTTTTAGAGTTCAATTTGTAGATGTACTCTTCGAGTCCAATAATAGTTTTTTTTTTAAGTTTGTTTCATTCCTTTTCTTTATATACATCGCAGAGGTGTGAAACACAGCTCAACTAAAACTCAGAATAGTTGAAGCTGATTCTGACAAAAAATGAACCAAATTTTTGAAGCAGCTATACTGTATAAGATGCAATCCACAATAGCGTTTGTTATTGCACTTCATTCACTTGGATCATCGGATACCAGTTAGTTACTTCTGAGATGCTTGTTTATTGCGAGCACCCGTGGTTTGGTTGGTAGGACAACCATCTCGTACATTTGAGGCCCGAGTTCGAATCTCTAATAATCCAACTTATACTGTATAGCGGAAAACACCACGTGATGGATAATGTGACAAAGGACAACACCACAACAGTAATTTAAATATTAGTTGGTGTATTCTATATGTAAATGCACGTGTGTGTATAATATGCCTTAAAGATGTACAGTTGTAGAGAAGGAATTTTGTAAAGATGGTTCGATCCTCGCTTGTCTACTCATGGAAAACAATCTGAATGTGAATCAATATGCCAAGCATCTGACAATTAATCAAACAACCAAGTATCAACAAAAGCAGTCTTACAGGTTCAACTGGACTTACTCGAAACTGATGGTATGAAACACATTTTCTGTGAGAGTAGATATATTGGAGTTTGTGAGGGTGAGCATAGTGAACGCTTTGACGGGGAAAGCAGAGGAGAAGATTTGATCAAGCTGATCTTCGCCCGTCAGCCCATCGCAAGTTAGGTTGAGGCTGAAGGTGGTACCATCGTAGGTACACGTACAAGGATCGATGTCATCATCGTTTGGACAAGGGAAAGCTCTCCCTTTCTCGCCTGTGGGGAAATATACAGACTAGGTTGTTATTGATATTATTACGTCACGTATATTAATATTATTTAGATTTTTGTATTATTATTACTAATTCACATATTAAATATATTTTTATGTGGTTGTGATGATAAACGAGTAATAAGAGCAGCCCGTCCTCTTACAAATTATGTCGCTTTTCGCTCGTATGTATTACGGCCAGAAATCGCCGTATTGAAATTAAAAAAAAAAGAAAATTAATTTTCCAAATGAAATGGACCCAAAGCAGCAAGTTCTCCTAAGGTTTCAAAACGTCATGGAAACCGTTAAAGTGTCCTCTCCTAACCTAACAGACTAAGCCAGAGGACCCAATACAGAAAACGGGACAGTATGTCACTTTTGCGAGTCGCTTTCATTTTCTAGTAGGGCGATTTTTAGCCTTAGTGCGCATACGAGCGAAAAGCGACGTAATTAGAGGACGGGTCCCTAACCTCATTACATGTCATCTTATACTGATGAGAGGGCTGGGAGTAGCTGTATTAGGAAATTTACGGCACAGGAAAAACGAAAACAATCACAGATCACGAGATCAAGATCAGGATCACGATCGCCCTCAGCGATCGTGAGGGCAATCGTGCCCTCAGCGATCGAGGGTGGGCGGCGCGGCGAGAGGTGTGAGCGGCACGTCGAGAGCAGACGTGCCGCTCTGGTAGCGATCGCTGCCTGCCCATCACCACTGCGACCCGTTGAGGGAATGGCTACAACGCGTCACAAACGCTTCAAAGTCAGGAATACCTCCATGGGCGACCACTCATTCTCCAAGACCGACCTCCTGAAGCTCCTCAAAGACGTCGCGGGCGTTACACCTATTGACATTGGTCATGATGGAGAAAGTGCTCTATTGTGCTCTACCTGCTACCTCTCAAGCGAGGAAGACCTAAAAAAACTGCTGAAGTACGACTGTGAGCTTCGCCAAGCACACCTCCCTCTCAACTTCCCACGCCAGTACCTTGCTGCGCGAACTGCCTTTGTCAGCGAGATCGGCCATTGGATCGCGGATCGAAATATAGTAGATATTCTAGAAAACGTCGACGTAGAAAACGAGCACATGCCAGTATTCGAATGCGACTTCTGCGGCAGGCGCACTGACAGCAAGAAACCAACCTTGAAGCTAATCCTCACCACCTTAGCCGCGGCTACGCAGGCTACCACGTATGGTTACTGCTTTGGCATCCAGATTCTACCATACCGAGTGAAGATGTAGTTCTTCTACAAGATAAACCAGTGCTTTAGATGCTACAAGTATTCCCATCCCACCAACCCGTCCAGAAGGGTTGGTTGGATCCTCGCCTTTGCGCCGAGGACCACCACTACTCCATCTGCAAGTCAGAAAACCTCTGATGCCTACTCTGCAACGGCGATCACTCTGCAGTCTCTCACCGCTGCACTCGCAGACAAGAAATCAAGATCCAAGAACTTATTTACTGCTAGGTGGACGGAGGTATCAGGTGAGAGTATTACTGTTGAGAATATTACTATTCATGCCCGTGCCACCTCAAGAAGTCGAACCCGGGATCCTCGATTGCGAGTTGAAAATTTAAACTATATACTGCAGGACCATTTGGAAGAATTCATTAATAATATCGTGTCCAGATACAAATTTTGCCGACGGAGGATTTACATTAAATCAGTGAAAGGTAATAAATTAAAGTATACAATAAATATTGAAGGTGTGCGTGAGCCAGGGCGGTGTATACCAGTACCAGAGCTGGTATCATGGCTGTAGCCTAGTTACTATGGCAGGTAGGAGGCTCTTCTGTAGTCTAATGAAAAAGAACTAAGAACATTGTACAGTAACACCAGGTTCAGAGTATATTGTTATTACAAGCTACACAAACTCCATTATAGTGTCTACTGAATTTACTATTTCTCTAGCAGCCTCGACGGAGACAGGAAGTCGGCGGCTTGCCAAATTCTCCCCGTTTTCCTCAAGATCTCATAGTACAATTGGCTTCGTTCTTGACTCGCACTTAGGGATCCCGAATTTGATTCCTGGGCGGGACAGAAACGATTGAGCACGTTTCCTTTCACTTAATGTCTTTGCTCCCCTAGCGGCAAAAAGGTATTTGATAGGTAACTGTTGTTACCTAACTACTGATGGGGGGGGGACCTCAATACACCACAACATAAATTATATATATATATAAATAGGCTTCCTGTCCCCCATAAAATGAATTAATTATTAAACGATTATCAACTTGGCATTTCTCTACTTCGAGATATATTTAAACAAATCTTAATTATTATAATAATGGTAAATTCGAGGAGGGGAGGTTTTATGCATGCCTAGCTAAAAAGGCGGTAAACTCCGCCTTTTTCACAGAGGATAGGAAAGTTAGGTCTTACCATTGTAGTCCGGATAGGCTGCGACCAAGACAACCACCATCGCCACGCACACCAGTCCTCTCCTCACACCTGCAACAATCATTAGAAGCTGTTACACTCTCTATTTTTGTAACTGTACTACGAACTAAATAATTTCTTTGAGCTGCTTTGAAAATCACCGAGAATGAGCAGACATTAATAATGGTAAAACATATGCAAAAATAAATCATTAAATTTATTAATGTGATAATTCTCGCATTATATTATAATGTGATAATTCTCGTAATGAGAAAATCAGTAGGAGCCATGAGAAGGACTCGAACCTATTGAAACGACACATTTCCCATTACGGGCCGGTATTTGTTTTCAGCTCATCCTCATACAAAGGACGTGTTTCTTGTTTTTCGGGCAAACAGTCAGCCATTTTTTTCTAACATTAATTTGTGTTATAAGTTTCTCACTGGGGTACAATGAGCACGATATCCAAGAGCAACGTTGATTCAACGTTGAATATACTGGGTGGAGTATATTCCTGCACACGTTTTATTAATACGTCCAACCTAGGACACTGTATGTCGGCAGGTGATCACATAATATTATGGTGGTGAGACACGTGGACAATACTGACGATGACTCCTGACATGCACTGCGTCCTGAGTGATGGTACTGTGATGTCAGGGAAGTCATTCGTCACCAGAGTGGGTTGCTGACACTGCCTTCACATGATCCAATATTGAAGAAGGCTCACCTTAGGGCACATAATGCCCTTCAAACCACATGGAGATCACTTCTACCGCAGCCATACTTGCCCACCGCTAGTGTGGCCTTCACTCATCCATTGCACACTTTTTGATGAACTACTACTGTATTATTATCTGGGCGGATACGAACAATTTTCGTCTCAGTTGGGTGATGGTACTCTGAAATGAGCACTTAACTTTCTTATATAAGAGGTAGACGGGCTCGCTTGGAATAGGCTAGGTTCGTAACCCATCATGCAAAACATGTTCGAATAATGTTTAATCGACGTTAATTGCGTTTAATTAACTTTATTAACGTTGATTCATTGTTAATAGCACACTGGTGCTACATAGCCTTCCCGGCTTGGAGCCTTCTTTTGATAATTACTTATTCATTGTTATGACAACGTCGTTTACTTAGATTTGCCGGCGGGATGGTAATGGACATGCCGGTCAGTAATTATAAACGACTTAATTGGACGCATTTTCAACCACTGAAGAATGGCTTACCTGAAGACAAATTGATCATTTCAACGTGTTGGTGAGACAGTGTTTACGTGGAACGCGACTGTCTGCTTGTTTATATCTGAGTGTCGGTAAATGCCACAGTTCACAAGACAGCAGCAGTCAGCCGACCCCACGTCACTGGGATTCACTCACACCTTTCTCCCATGACTTCTAAGTTGATCTCACTCTTACATACCGACCTTCCAAGCTTATCTCGCTTACCGTATTTCCAAGTTGGGCTCACTCTTGCATACCGTACTTCCAAGCTTATCTTGCTTACCGTATTTCCAAGTTGGGCTCACTCTTGGATACCGTACTTCCAAGCTTATCTCGCTTACCGTATTTCCAAGTTGGGCTCACTCTTGCATACCGTACGTCTGCATACGATATACCATACATACCATACCGTGAGCCGTCTGCTTATGATACTATTTTAAACCAAATGACCGGCTCAGGTAGGATATTGAAAATACCCTACCTCAGGTAGGATATTTACCTCAACAAGATTAATGCAACGGATTTTATATAAAAATATTACATAGGAACATAATATTGGATCTTAAATAGGCTGTTTGTTAATATATAACTTGTGGTAATGGCAAACTATCGAAAGCCTCTGAACCCATTATGTTAAACTCTGCAACAAGCTCATCATGCCTTAACTTCCTTACCTAAACTAATTTTGGTGTTCAGTTCTTGAACCTATACATGTGCCCCTCTGCAACTTTTTCCTGTACCACTCACTGGAAGGATATTGAGTGCATAATGAATGAAGTAAACTAAACCAAGTCCACTAACATTTAATTGAAAATTTTTAGGTAAATTGTCGCATATGTTTGTCACTGCAGATTAAAACAAAGTTGTTATTACTTCAGCTGGAAGATATTTACTGGCTTGAAGCCAACCAGACGGGTGATAGGAGCAAGTAGGCAATCAGGTCAATACCATTGATATTGGTATTGGTTGATAATATGGTGGTGGATTTATGGTATAAATTACCAAACAACGTAATGGACGTGGGATCGCTTGCTTTATTCAAGCGTAGGTTGGACATATCTATAAGTCAACCTAGAATTTGAATCTGATTGTGTCAAGAACGAACCCGACCCTATAATTTAAATAAGAACGGCTTCATAGCCAATATGCCGCAATGTACCTTTATTCTCATGTTCTTATGATAATGAGATTAAAAGGATGGAAAGTTCCCCGGAACAGAGTGTTGTGGTTCACAGGGCTGTTAGTAGACATGACCAGCATCATGTATACTCTCGCATTGCTTCACCTTGTCGCGGACTGCAGGCGGCAGCAGGCTGGGACCGCCGCCACCTGCACCGCTGATAACCCTAACAACCTCATGCATCATTACTTCTCCCTGGGGTTGCGGGTTGTGCCTCACTCCTCAACCCTATGTTATGGGAGAAGTTTTAGTCTAGGGTTTTGGATGTCAGTAACAGTATAGTGGTTGTGGTCGTATTGCCAGACGTAGTTGTGATAGCAGTAAAGGTTGTATTTTTAGTAGTTGTAATACTAATAGTGTTTGCAGTAGTAATAAAAGAATATATAATAGAAGCAGGAGGAAGCGAAAGAAAGGTAGCGCGACAATTCTGTATATCAGTATGGGTTCACCGGCCGTACCCGAGGTGGACCAGCAGACTCTTAAGTCTCCTGGTGAGGAGTCTATGGGACTCCTCACACCTGCTACCTTCCACTCACGCCATAGGCCATGGTGAATGGACCATGGAAAGGTATCGGTAAAAGGGAAAACAAAACATTACCTGAGGCCTGTCATCTGCAGTGGCATCGATGGGAACAGAAAGCCGGCGACTTGTCAAAGGTTCACCCCCCCCCCCCCTGCCCTTATTATTCCTGAGGATTTTCTTCAGTTGAATTCCGTGCCTTTTCAAATGATGAATTTGCTTCCTAGAGTAAATATTTTTCTTGAAAAACGCGTCAGTAGGATCTTTATATATTTGTCAGTGAACAACAGATGCAATTTATGAATCATTAAATGAACTGCATTTTGAAGAATAAATGTTCAAAGCTGCTTAAGAGATAAGCACATCAATACGTTAAAATTGGATAACAGGTTTCTATTCAACTGTTCACGACAGGTTTTCCCTCTGTTTTTTTTAGATTTCAAAACAGGGTTTCCCTCTGGTTCTCGTCTCGTCACGATGAGTTTCCTTCTGGTTCTCGTCTGGGGAGTCCACAATGAGTTTCCCTCTAATTCTCGTCTGGGGAGTAAACGATGGGTTTCCTTCTGGTTCTCGTCTGGGGAGTCCACAATGAGTTTCCTTCTGGTTCTCGTCTGGGGAGTCCACAATGAGTTTCCTTCTGGTTCTCGTCTGGGGAGTCCACAATGAGGTTCCTTCTGGTTCTCGTCTATGGAATCCACAACAGGTTTTGCTTCTGACTCGTGTCCGGAATGGACGACAGGTTACCACACTATGGATGGCGTCATGAGTGTTGACACGCACGCCGGGTCCCTCTGACGTCAACAAGGCGTCTCAGGTACTCTAATGTAATCACTTCATTCTTTGTCATAAACAGGAAATTTCAAAATTGCTACCCATTGAGGATTTTGCATAATTATGAATGTTGAAATTCATGGACTGATGCTTTACGTTTAATTACGTTAAAATGTACATTAAATGGATGAAACTTCCACGTTACAGCCGAGAAGCTTACACGAACAATAGTTTTTGCCAGTTTTCTATTATATGGAGTGGGATTATTGTTATTGCTATTATTATTATTATTATTATTATTATTGAGACAATCCGCTGGGGCTGTGAGGCGACGCAAAAACCACCGTAGATTTTATCAATGATGTATATCACGTTAGTGTGATTTTCTGTGTAGTAATAATAATATTATAATAATAATTGGTGCAGGTATTCGATATCTTAGTACCCTACTCAAATACTAATAGACTCAAATGTTCCGCCCGGCAACTAGTGCAGTTCCTGTACGGCAAGATGTAGAGGCATCTCACTACCGTTGGAGATGTATGCCCCTGCTGCCGTGCCTTTCACCAACACATGTTAATAGCGCCGCGATATTAACGCTTCTGTCGACTATTTAAGTGTGCTCTCGACAGGGATGACGTGTATAAGAAAGTGCCGTTGTTTTATGAAGTCGACTTTATTGGAAGTATTTGTTCCTATAACATTCACAGTGAGTTACATAAGTATGACTTTACTGTGTCTAAAAACAGGTGAGAAACAAATATTGTTCACAATCACGATACAAATATTGTTCACAATAAGACAGCAAGCTTCTTCCCCCCGCCTTTACTTCCTGTAAGGAATTTAGTCTTCAGGAGGGGGAGTTACAGTTGTTACAGAACACTGGTACTTCAGGAAGTCTATCAGGGTGTCGAGCTCTATGTTTGAGCCGATGTTGCATGACGACACCACTCCCCTCGTGCGATTCCTCTCTTCCTCTGGAAATATATCACGAGAAATAATTATATGGAGTTGTATAGCCGTGGACACGTTTTATGTCTGGTGACTCGCAGGGTATCTGCTTGAGCTCGAGTCGCTAGCATCGTTGCTCTCTGTCATTGTACGTCTTAATGTATTTTTAATGTGAATGATTACTATATTTATATTATACAACACAAATTAGAAGTAACATTTGTACAGATTTCCTCAGTAGTTTTTACAGTTAGTTTCACTTCGTAGACACATAAGATTTTGCAGTCTCCGTGGTGTAGTGGTAAGACACTCGCCTGGCGTTCCGCGAGCGCTATGTCATGGGTTCGTATCCTGGCCGGGGAGGATTTACTGGGCGCAAATCCTTAACTGTAGCCTCTGTTTAACGCAACAGTAAAATGTGTACTTGGATGAAAAAACGATTCTTCGCGGCAGGGGATCGTATTCCAGGGACCATAGTATTAAGGACTTGCCCGAAATGCTACGCGTACTAGTGGCTGTACAAGAATGTAACAACTCTTGTATATATCACAAAAAAACAAAAAAAAAATGGGGGAATTTTAAAACATACCCAACTCAACCCAAAATAAAGTAATGAAACCGCAGCCTATCCTAACCAAACATACAGTTTGTCAGAAAACGTGCTATGAAATATTTTCCCCGTTTAAATATATTAATAAAGTGAAATCATATGTTGAGAGGGCGGGCTTGTGGAGTGTCGGTAATCACGAGTTGTGTCGCTGAGAGTTGAACACCTAGTGAAGGCATTTGCTAAACAAGAGTTTATTTTGTTAATCCATGATATGAAGTTGATAACCAAGACATGATGCTGATACAGTAACACTCCAGCCGCTCCCCCCCCTCCAGATCTTTAGTTCCCCCCCCCCCCAGATCTTAAGTTAAACCATACAATACCACCGGGCAAATTTGAGCAAATAACGTTAATGTAACACGGAATCAACGTTGATCCTATGCTATCTTTACATTACTCTTCCATATTTTGCCTGCTGGGATCTTCACTATGACATTATAACGACGTTGATAATATACCCGGGAGAGAGGCGAGCCAGAAGAGGTCGCAGCCACACGACAGAGGATTGTCGCTCAGATCAAAGAATCCGTCGGTGAGCTCCTCGATGACCGGATAGTAGACGTCTTTGTCGACCGTTGTGAGGAGGTTGTTGGAGAGATTGACCTGCACCTCCTCATATATACCTGCAGTCAGACGACACCTCGAGTTAAATTCACTTGTCCCTCTCATAAAATTTATATCCTTATCACTATGAAAATATATAATAATAATGTAATTGAAACATAATAATAATATAATAATCCTCATTTATAATTAAATTTAGATATAAAACTAACAGGTAAATCTGTTAGATAAAAAACCAACAGGTAAAGCACAAATACATATGTAAATAGCTATATATCTTCTTAAAGCAATTGTCAATCGTTTCCACAGGTAATATAATGTTCCAAATACGATCATAAGCATGAGGTTCAACACATCAGTACTCTGGACAAGTCTGTCAGCGCGAGCATATATAAAATATTCAAAACTTTCAATTATAAATTTGTTTCTACTGCAGCACATTGAGACTGGTAATCTTTATATCATTGTCTTGATTATTAAAACAATGATAGGTTTCGTACCTGAGAATGCTCCCACAGAGATGGTTTTAATATTGTTTCCTGACAGACCCACATATGTCAAGTTCTCAGCATCAAAGGCAAAGGAAGATTCAGCCAGAGTTTCTATATTGGCATCTGATATCTCCACATTTTCCAGATTTTTAAGTGCCCTGAAAAATACAGTAAAGATATGCTGAATTAATTTATTAAAACAAATTTCAAATGGGAGTCGCATATCATGGTGGAATAAATTGATATAAAATAAGTAACGTTATAAATACTAAATACATTTAATACTTTAGTAAAATGTCACGTGTAAACATGTATACGTAAAGTGGTTTTGCCTTTATGGTTTTGCTTTTAGGCTCAGTAAAGTACAATTGAGCTTCAAAAAAGTTTGGGCATCTTGATTTTGACTGTTGCCGCCGGAGGCGGCTAGTTTATTGTGCACCCCATACTCATCCTGTGAGCGGTAGCGCAAAAAGCATTACAAAGGGCACAAAAGGTCTTTATCAGACCTCATCTTAAAATATTACATAAACAATTTCATCTATCCTTCACACCTTATAGTTACATATCAGCTAGTTACAGAGAATGTTCTATATCAAGAGCTATATATTTACAGTAAGTCATTATACATTAATGGTAGGTCTTATCGATAATACATAATTGTTTGAACAATGGAGATATTACAGTCATTGGGGAGCTGCTGTTTATTATTAGTCTTCACAATACACTACTTGTTTCTTAATCTCATATGTCGTTTATCTACTGGAAGCGAAATATGGATACAGTGCAAGGATTTCAGGTATTTTAACCTTGGTAATAAGATGGGTTGCCATATCATACAGAGTGAGCTTAGATTTATCTCTAAATGACTCAAATTTACTACAATCCAATATATAGTGTTCGAGTGTGTATGTGTCCCTGTCTTTGTCCACACACTTTACACTTTACTTCATCTAGATCCCTATACAAGCCGAACTGTCAGAGATACTTGTAGCCAAGTCTTATTCGAGCTGTGACAACATCTGTTAGTCTACTGACTTTGTTACTTACCCCATACACATGTTTTACTTCACACATTTCATGTGATAAACATGATAAACAATGGACCTGCGAGTTCCAGTTTGCACTGTTCTACTTTCTTCAAATCCATGCAGGAGTTCTCATCTAATGACACTTTTAAGGGATCTATTTGATAACTCAAGATTCCGTTCAATACTGTCTTCTCTTGCTAAAAATACGGCATAGTCACCATGCACATGTGTGGGGATCAAGCTGCTTCCTCCCTGCAGTGCTTATCATGTAAGGTGGAATACAAAGGCTCTTCCCCACACGAATGCACCCACAGAACATTAAGTGTCTCTCTTGTTGTATATCATACTGGCATGTCACATTTATGTCTTGCTTTTAATCCATTATCATGAAAACATCATTGGGCTTCTATGTTCAGTTCGGCTTTGTCTGAGCACAGTGGCATTCTACCCACCATACAGAGCTCCATAGACACGACTTCTACTACTTCCGTCATATTAGCCTAGCAGTTTGATGTTTTAGTTAATATAATCGATTTATTTAGCATTTGCCTTATAAGCAAAATGGCAGCTCACCCATCCTTCTAGAATGTTCCATAGCTTACTACCTGACTGAAAAACTAATCAAGAAAGAGTGACACTTTGAGAGTATTTCAATGTGATATCAGAGATGTGCTAGTGACCCTCACACAGTCAACTAATCAAGAGGCTACCGACCATCTCTGAAATGTATGTACGTTCCTTATTTCTCCTACACAGACCGTGATCTACATAGCTAAATTGAATATTTTGAACAGAACTAACAAATTCTACTTACAGGAAGATGTTTCTCGGGATAGTTTTCAGCGGAGTGTTTGTAAGACCGATGTTGACAAGGTTAGGAGCTCCGGAGAACATGTCGTCCGCGAGGGAGGTGAGGTAGTAGAGGCTCAGTGTGGCCGAGGTGAGCGTCTGCGACGTCAGAACACTTACAGTGTCATAGGGGCCACTCTGTTTGAAATAATAATAATAATAATAATAATAATAATAATAATAATATATTTAGGAAAAGTACATACATAGATGCAGAGTTACAAACATTCCGATTGATTTATAGATAGAGATAGTACATACAATACCTAAGCCACTAGACCGAAACGCATAGATAAATGCTATTTATTTTAAACCAAGTGGTGCACAATGTTTATTCTAACGTCACCTTATATTAAACTAGTTGGGCTACGACGTTTGTCTTAACATTCCACGTCTTAATACGTTTGTTTTAACATCCCACGCCATAATACGTCAAACCAGAAGCATATAACGTCTGTTTTTAATATCACTCGTCATAATGGTAAACAAATTGGCATATAACGACATCTGTTTTCAAGTGATCAGATCTCACGCGTGTACACAATGTCTGGTCGTCATAATTAGTCAATTTTTAATGAAAACCACGAACTTGAACTGACTGACTAGACTTACTACCAGTACTTCCACACCTACTACAACTCTACTACTACTACTACTACTACTACTACTACTTCTACTTCTACTTCCACTACTTCTACTACTCCTAGTGTTTGCACTTCTACTAACACCACAATAGTACCACTGCTACTTCCCTTACTATTAAAACTGGAATAATACTACTACACTTAATACTTTCACTACCACTATTAATAGTAGTACTTCCACTTCTGTGTAGTACAGTGATCTACGGCCTTGACTCTTATTCGACTATCCTGGGTTCGATACCCGGACGGGATAGAAATGCTAAAGTATGTTTTTATTCACCTGGTGCTTCTGTTCGCCTAGCAGTAAATAGATAGCCCGGAACTGGGCAACGGTTGTGGGTTGCATCCTGGGAAAGGTCAGTAGTTGGCCTTGGAGGACTTCGATAAGCCTATATGTATACATACAGGCCTCCTTGTCCCCGACAACGGGAATTATTATTATTACTATTATTGTAACTGTAATAAAAGTACAACTACAAATGCTATTACTGCTAATGTACATCCAGCCTGTGTACATCTAGCTTGTCTGTGCAGCAGGCTTGTCTGTACACCCTTTCCTATCAGTACAACAGCCTGTCTATATTCAACCTGTCTGTATCAATTAGTATGTCACATATGCACTTATTAAATAAGCCAATATTGACTGTAAGCAAGTGCGAGAACGGGAACCCTAGTACACCAGGCAATTCTGTACTCCTGATCTGCCGGTCCACCCGAACACAACGGTGAGTACAACTGCAGGACACAACTCAAGGTTCACGATACTTACAACGTGGATTGTTTTCATTTGGGTGAAACTTTTAATATTTTCCAGGGGCCAGTCATACATCACATCACTATCCTCCTCGTACATGTAAAATTCCTCCATGAAATTATACGAGTTCTTGAACACGTCTGACCCCACTGTCGTTAGGTTGTTGCTGTCAAGCCTCACCGAGCTGGGGAAGGTGAAGACGAAGGGTTAGTGTCATGTCTACTGTGCCTGGGTAGTTTATTTTTAACCTGTAGAGGTATGAAGTGTGTTCAGTGTTCAGAGGTTTAAATGCAAGTTTTCACGAAGACAAAACAAAAACAACAAAAAACATAAGTCCAGCTTATAAACCTAAATCTAGCTTGGAACAAAAACTTCCTTGTTTGGATTCTTAATTGTTAAGGCGATTTGTTTTTAGTATTGTTTAAAGCTAGTTTCTGGAGTATAAGCTTTTCTAAATCATCTTGTTAAGCCCCCAACTGGAAGACAATCAGATCACCTGGATGTGCTCTCCTACCTCACTTGGTCTACGGTGGGGACTCCTCATCCAGGAGTGTTTCCAGGCCTGTCCTGGAAACACTGGAAACCTGTTTCCAGGTTTCCAGGGAGGTACTCCCCGATCCCTGTGTCAGGCATGACCCGCAATGCAAATTTTTGCTACGAATATTCTTTTCTAGTTTTTAAAGGGACGCATTTCGTACTTTTTTATCCGCGTTTTGCGGATAAAATCCGCAATTTTGCGTTTATAAGAAGCGAGTGATCGTGTATTCATGCAGTATTTTTAAATATTTCATTTGACCAAGTTAGACAAAAATATGTTTTCACTGAAGTACTCACCCGAAAGCTAAGTCCCCAAACACGTCATCACTGAGCTCGCTGATGTTGGAGTATTCAAGGACAAATGAATTGACTCTGTTGATGGGGAAGGACGCTTGGAACGCTGAGGTCAGTTCCTCCTCGCTGGTCAAATTACTGCACCGGAGGTCAATAGTTATGTTGTAGGTACACGTGCAGGGAGAAATTTCGTCGTCATCTGGACACGGGAACTTCCTCACCTTATCATCTGTAAGAGTCGCAGATAGGTCTAAATTAACTCCTGTCTTCAGATTTTAATTAAGCTTGCCCTGGACGGTTAGTTTAAGGCATGTTAATATTTGAGTATAAAAGTGTTTAACATAAATTACTGTAAATCCACGTTGTCGGGAACAGGAAGCCTGTATATTTAGGTTTATCGAGGTCCACCCCCCCCTCCTTAGAGCAACCACTGACCCCTCCCCGGTATGCAATCCGCAACAATTGCCTAACTCCCAGATACGTATATTACTGCTAGACGAACAGAGGCATAAAGTGAAAGAACAGCACATCTCCTGTGCCAGGTGAGTACGACGGGCTCACCATGTGTTGCTTAGAACTTTTTGTTCCCAGTAGCTGAATCTTAAACAACAAGAACGGTTAAATTGTTTACGGGCTATTCATGCCCGTGCCACCTCTGGGGTAAATTGTTCTCATTGAATATGGTGTTGTTATGCTGCGAACTGCAGAATGTTTAAATTAGAGAGGTGAATGCTTAAAAAGAACGCCATCCACTGGTCTATATGAGCAAAGTAGTTAATGTAACATTGAGTTAACGTTATCTGCGTTGATTTAATGTTAATTTACTGTTGAAGATTAAATGTTACGCGAGCATATATATTATTCCCGATGAGCAGAGCATCAGAGGGACTCACCTTGGATGAAATTTAGATGCTGCTTGAGACGCGGGAAGCAGGCGGTGACGATGGAGGCCATCACCACCACACCCATCACCACTCCTCTCACACCTGCAACATCAGTTCTCTTTAACCCTCTCTCCTCACACCTGCAACATCAGTTCTCTTTAACCCTCTCTCCTCACACCTGCAACACCACGACTCATTTACTGTCTCCCTAAAACGATCTAGAAATCATGATTAATAGGGATCTTAAGCTTCATCTCTTACGAACCCATACATGCCCTTGTGTGCCAGTGCACAAGGGATCCTGACGGTCGAGTGGACATATTCGTACACTGAAACGTGTATACAGTCTAATGTAGTTGATTGTAACCATGATTATATATATATATATATATATATATATATATATATATATATATATATATATATATATATATATATATATATATATATATATATATATATATATATATATATATATATATATATATATATATATATATATATATATAATCTTTGGACAACACCCACCAGTGGGACTCGAACCCAGAAAGCACAACTACCTTCCAGTAGCTGGCATAACTAGTATGCTTTAACCCACTACGCCATCAGACCTTACAAAAGAAGTAGATAGTTCGAGATATATATATCTCAAACATCTCTACCTCCCGAAGGCACCAGATGAGTGAGGGGTCAGTCTGCATTTTTCGTCAAGCCACTGTCAATGTGAGAGAACTCGTGTCCAGCTTATAAGCCTATACTTGCATAAACCACAAGTGAAGATAAACAATCTTTGGACAACACCCACCAGTGGGACTCGAACCCAGAAAGCACAACTACCTTCCAGTAGCTGGCATAACTAGTATGCTTTAACCCACTACGCCATCAGACCTTACAAAAGAAGTAGATAGTTCGAGATATATATATCTCAAACATCTCTACCTCCCGAAGGCACCAGATGAGTGAGGGGTCAGTCTGCATTTTTCGTCAAGCCACTGTCAATGTGAGAGAACTCGTGTCCAGCTTATAAGCCTATACTTGCATAAACCACAAGTGAAGATAAACAATCTTTGGACAACACCCACCAGTGGGACTCGAACCCAGAAAGCACAACTACCTTCCAGTAGCTGGCATATCTAGTATGCTTTAACCCACTACGCCATCAGACCTTACAAAAGAAGTTATGCCAGCTACTGGAAGGTAGTTGTGCTTTCTGGGTTCGAGTCCCACTGGTGGGTGTTGTCCAAAGATTGTTTATCTTCACTTGTGGTTTATGCAAGTATAGGCTTATATATATATATATATATATATATATATATATATATATATATATATATATATATATATATATATATATATATATATATATATATATATATATATATGTCGTACCTAGTAGCCAGAACTCACTTCTCAGCCTACTATTCAAGGCCCGATTTGCCTAATAAGCCAAGTTTTCCTGAATTAATATATTTACTATAATTTTTTTCTTATGAAATGATAAAGCAACCCTTTTCTCTATGTATGAGGTCAATTTTTTTTTATTGGAGTTAAAATTAACGTAGATATATGACCGAACCTAACCAACCCTACCTAACCTAACCTAACCTATATTTATAGGTAAGGTTAGGTTAGGTAGCCAAAAAAAGCTAGGTTAGGTTAGGTTAGGTAGGTTAGGTAGACGAAAAAACATTAATTCATGAAAACTTGGCTTATTAGGCAAATCGGGCCTTGAATAGTCGGCTGAGAAGTGCGTTCTGGCTATTAGGTACGACATATATATATATATATATATATATATATATATATATATATATATAATAATGTGTGTGTGTGTGCGCGTCAGCCTACAGTTTACACCTATTGTCTTGAGTATGATCCTTTGTCCTGAGTGACAGTGAGTACCAGCATTATCCTCACTCTAATAAGACCTAATTGAATTCCTCAGCCCCCCATCCCAGCTGGGATTGCTTGTGGGCTTTTGATAGTGGTGGCTGGAGTGCTGGGGCTGTGAGAGAGACCCACTTAGTGGCACAGTGTATAAAGTTGAGACCATGTACCTCTGCCAGTTGGTCAAGGCAGTCACAAAAACACGTGATTCGGTTTTTCTCCACGTAGGAGAAATAGAACAAAAATAATCCTAACACTCGTGATTTAACACATTTTCAAGAAGTACAGTAGGTATAATACTGGGCTTGAGCTTACATAACCCTTACACCTGAGTAGATCAAGAAACAAAAACATAATTTGATATCACTCATCTTACCAATTTTAAAACTAATTTATAAGACGTACTAATTTAATTTATAGCTTAGATGGTTTTATAATTGGTAAGAGTTATGATGGGTATAAAAGTATGTAAAGAATGGATATAGCTGCAGATGTCTGATTCCCAGAAGTGTGAGGGAAACTGCAGTTGGATTATTCCCATTGTGTCACGTCTAGCTTACCAAGAGACTGACCTGGTCAGTCCGGTCCTGATCTGACCTGGTCTCTTTTACCAGGAGACTGTTCAACTTACCAGGAGACAGACTAGCTTACGACGCAGTAGCTTACCTGTAAAGCAACTCGTCATCGCTGCGCGTTGTGAAGCGTATTAACCGTAGGCATCAGGCGGTGGTTTTAATATACCGGAGACTTGAACACCTGCCACGGTTCTCCAGATAACACCAGGAGAACAGAGTACATTATTGTGATGAGGCAATTACCGTGGACCCATACATATGTGCAAGCTTTCCTCGAACCATGATAGTGCCTATAGCAACTGTGGATAGTGTACAAAAAAAAAAAATATGCTGTAGCACGCAAAAATATTCCATGTTTTGTTCTACTGATATGTAGAGGGTCCGACAAAGAAGGCAACAATCAAATCTAACTTTCCCTAAGTTTTGTGTGTTATATATACCTGTATGTGCATAATTAGGCCTAAGACTGCATAAATTAATCCGGGTTTTGCTTATTTAGGCCTAGGACAGGTTAGGTTAGGTTTTTGCAGATTTAGTTATGCTCTTTTGTATTCCTATACTGTAGTACAAAATGTGGTGTTGACCAGACCACACACTAGAAGGTGAAGGGACGACGACGTTTCGGTCCGTCCTGGACCATTCTCAAGTCGATTGCTTACCTGGTCAATCGACTTGAGAATGGTCCAGGACGGACCGAAACGTCGTCGTCCCTTCACCTTCTAGTGTGTGGTCTGGTCAACTTACTTTAGCCACGTTATTGTGACTCATCGCCTGCATACAAAACGTGGTATTTGTTACGGAACAGTCCATATTTTATCCTTTTCATCCACAATCATTATATCGTAGTACAGTTGGGTTTGTTCTCAAATCACAATCGGGGATTCCAAGTTCGATTCTCGGACGGGACAGAAATGGTTGGGCACGTTTCTTTTCACCTAGTACCTCCATTCACCTGGCAGTAAATAGGTACCCGGGAGTTAGGCAGCTGTTGTGGGGGTTGTATCCTGGGGGAAGGTCTGTAGTTTTACCTTGAGGGAACCTCGATTCCAGCCTAACGTATATACATACACAAGCTGCCTGTCCCCCGACAAAACTAATTATTCTAAAAATATATTTGTGCTATACTTGGTTTGGTAATGTTGAAGTTTGTTTTTAAGCTTCTTATTTTCTTGCTATTTTTGTACGTTCGACCAAATTAAAATAGGTATTAATATTAATTATTATTAACACTATCATTTTAGGAGAATAGATTGAGTGCATCAACCCATACTGCAAAAATTGTAGTACGCCAAGTATATTTGATAGTATATTTTAATATTAGAAGGCATTTGCCAATCTTCCGACCATTTGTTGAGTTCATGTAGATCTGAATACCTTTTCCCCTAGTCTACTTTACCATAAATATTAAGTGTCATCTGCAAATTAGATGCTGTGATTTGTAATATTCTCATCTATGCCACTGATGTACAAGATAAAAAGGCTTGGCCCAAGATGGAACCTGCAGCACTCCTTTCGCCGCATTTCCCCAGTTGACCCTTTGCTTTCTTTCCTTCTTTTAATCATTGTTTTATCCTTTCTTGTATTCCACGTTTTTAGTTAGTTAGTTTAGTTCATTTATTATGCACCCCATACCCATCTTGTGGGCGGTAGTGGAAAGGGTTACAGAGGCACATAATGGGCTCAGGGACTGAACCCCACAATTCATTTAGCTAAGCAAGTTACAAAATTCAGTATAAGTCGTCACATCAACAATGGGTTCGAGATCGACCTCAAGTACAGGTTCTAAATTAAGCAACTGACATGTGTCACAATTTATATGTTTGTCCTGCACACCGCCCCCCATTCAGTGGGCAGCGGTGGATAGGTTACAGTCACTCAGTTACTACCTACATTTAGCAAACTGGGGATATTTGGCTAAAATTTCTGGTAGCAGATCATTTTGAATGAAATATTTACACATCGCTGTAAATTCCACGTGTTTGCAGTTTCCTTGCTAGTCTTTTGATTTTCCTAAGGTATGGATTTTTTTTATACTGCAGCTCCTACCTCTTGAATGATTCAAGAGGTAGGAGGTTATCGTGAGTTGATTTTGGGGCTTTAGTGTCCCCGCGGCCCGGTTCTCGACCAGGCCTCCAACCCCCAGGAAGCAGCCCATGACAGCTGACTAACTCCCAGGTACCTATTTACTGCTAGGTAACAGGGGCATAGAGTGTCAATGATTGGCAGATTCTAACTCTTATAGGCCCTTTTCTTCATCAGTCTGTTGCATGCTAGTATTGCTTATATTGTTGTGCATTGTTATACTCTAAATGCAAGGTCTTGCATTTTTCAATGCTGATTACATTTGCAACTCTTCTAACCAATATGTGATCAGAAGATTATGACCATTATGTGGCTTTTAACTTTATGTTGTTGTTGATTCGTCAAACTTAATCTGTGTAAACACTCTATGCAAATAAAGGGACCTGGTCTATGGAACTCACTCCCTAAGGAATTGAAAAGCTGTCAAATTTTTGCTTTATTCAAAAATAAAACCAAAAAGTACCTAATTTCATCTTCATAGTTTCCTACCTAGTACTTGAAACTCGCACTGTATCTAGTGCTACCCAATTCCCCAAAATATGTACCTATGCATACAACTTTACCTTTGTAATCATTGCTGTAGTCTTATATCATGCTATACACATAGTTTGCTACATTATATCTTGCAATAATCCTCAAATTATGCTAAAATGTACCTGTGGATAACCCTTAAATTTACTTTATTATACCTACTTTTTTCTGTCAAATTTCTTGTACATTGTATTTTTTTATACTTCCATTTTTATATCTTCTTACAGTGTATTTTTGTACTTAATGTATTTTTATACTTTCTTTCAATGTACCTGTAAATATTTTTAATTTTACTAGAAATTACCTCCTTAAAACTGTTAGATTAAGGATCTGCCCGAAACGCTATGCGTGCTAGTGGCTTTACAAGAATGTAAAACTTCAAGTCTCTGTACTTTAATAAACCCAATGTACCTTCTTGTATATAAATAAATAAATAAATAAATAAATAAATAAATAAATAAATAAATAAATAAATAAATAAATATATAGGGGCGACGATCGTGGGATCAGATGCGACCCGGCGTACCCGTAAAGGGTTGATCGCGAAGCCCGGAAAGGTGAAACGCCAAGCCTAATTGCGAAACGATTAACTCCAAGTTGTTGTTGTTATAGATTCAGCTACTCGGAACAAGTTCCAAGTAGCACGGGCTATGGTGAGCCCGTAACTTACCTGGCACAGGAGCGGGGCAAGTAGCACGGGCTATGGTGAGCCCGTAGTGGACTTACCTGGCACAGGAGCGGTGCCTGTGGATTAACTCCAATAACTGGAAACTAATAAGCCTGGCGGCAAAGAAACGCACACAGGCAGATGATTGGGGAGCCCCAGGAGTCCCTCTGGGTGACAAGCGCCGGTCCCGCCCCAAACAGAGAACCCACCAACTCCCGGCACCTCTCTGCCAAGCCGGCGCCGGACACCGTTACCCTGCCGGGAGAACCAGCCAGAACACGTAATAAAAAATCTATTAACAATCCAAGACCCAAGACGATATGTGCGCGCCAGGCGTCGTATAAAAGGACTGTTGAATAGAGATGCCAATTTACGGGCTCACCGTAGCCCGTTCTATATGGACACTTCGTTCTGAGTAGCTAAATCTGAAACAAGAACAGGGATGCCAATTTACGGGCTCACCATAGCCCGTGCTATATGGACACTTCGTTCTGAGTAGCTAAATCTGAAACAACAGGGATGCCAAACGGCTGTATCAAATCCAAATCGCAAGCAAAACGTGATCCGGCGGCTCCCATGCGTAGGAGGCTCGGCGTCAAGGTTGAACGAGGTGACATCTAGCAGTAAATATATCTACGGGAGTTAGGTAATTGCTGTAGGTTGCATCCCAGGTAGAAAGTTAATAATTAATATAGGTGAACGTGCATTGGGGGATAGGAAACGGGCCCAACCATTTCAATCACGTCATGGGTTTGAACACGGAATTCTTGATTGTAAGTCGAGAACAAACCAGACTGTACTACCGGGACCTAGGACTTCGACAAGTTAAATCTTTAAGTATTCTTGTGTGCCTCCGACAATGGGAATTATAGTTCTACCTTTAGGCTGTTGTTCAAAGGCAATCCAAGATGGTGTTAAAACATTATTTTAATGTTAACGTTAATTTTAATGTTTATTTCATAATAAAATTTTACATCTTAAATAATGTTGTATTTAAAAATGTCCTCTTTTCAGTTGATATGAGAATAGATTGTTTTTTTTTCTTTTAATATTATCATTTGATAAGTGTACAGTCTCTCTGATTCCCTCAGCGGCACACTTGCGTGCTGTAGCTGCCCCAACTCACTATAACAACAAAAAGAAGCAGCATTTTCACAAACGACACTCGCTATCTCATTAGACCTTCGCCCTTCAATTAGGTAAGTGTATATGCGTTTTTAAATACTCACCTAGTTGTGCTTGGGGGGGGTTGAGCTCTGGTTCTTTGGTCCCGCCTCAACTGTCAATCAACTGGTGTACAGATTCCTGAGCCTACTGGGCTCTACATTTGAAACTGTGTATGGAGTCAGCCTCCACCACATCACTGCCTAATGCATTTCACCTGTTAACTACTCTGACACTGAAAAAGTTCTTTCTAATGTCTCTGTGGCTCATTTGGGTACTCAGTCTCCACCTGTGTCCCCTTGTTCGCGTACCACTCGTGTTAAAGAATTCATCTGTAGTGAGTAGATTATCCCAATAATATACTCGCTCCAAATGCATTGTTAATATTCCTGTCAACCTTTGGAGATGAATGAGGTGAGGCGTTGCCCGGGCAACACGGTGAGGTGTTGCCCGAGCATATAAGCAGCAGAATAGCAAACATTAACCAGAGTCTACTTTCAAGTGTGGTCTAGAGCAGACACTTGCGAGATACTGTACCGACGCTCAGTGCGCCCAACTCACACCAAAGTATCACCTGTGTACTTCTGTATATTCGACCAAATATAAAAGCGAGTATTGAGCAGTACTCAAGACACGACAGCACAAGTGATTTGAATATTATTCCTGGATTTGAAAGTTTTCATAATCCATCCTATCATTTTTCGGGCTAATACAATATTTGCTTGGTTATGCTCCCTAAACGTTAGGTTGTCAGACATCATTATTCCCAGATCCTTTACATGCTGCTTTCCTACTATGGGCAGATTTTGTCTTCTGTGGATTCCTTCCCATATTGGTCTCTGAATGCATGACATAACTGATGAGCTAGCCAAGACTTTTGCTCGTAAAGAGGGAATTGATTACCAACTTGGACTGCCTTTGAGCGGCTTAGATGTGTATGTATATGTGTATACGTATATATATATATATATATATATATATGTACATGTATGTATGAGGGTGTGTACATGTGTATACAACATTGATAATTTTGTAACTAGCGTCAAACATTGTTATTTGCTTAGCTAAACAAACTAGAGGGTTCAGTTCCTGAACTGATTATGTGCCTCTGTAATCCTTTACACCACTGCCCACGGGATGGGTATGGGGTGCATAATAAAGAAAGAAATTGAATTGAATTGTTTTGTACCTTGTATTTTGTTTAAGGTCCTCATTTTTATTGTACCTGAGTACCTGGAATTTATCACTGTTAAATATGTTATTTTCTGCTGCCTAGTCAAAAATTTCATTAATATCTTCTTGTAGTTTTTAAATGTCTTCAGCAGAGGTAATTTTCATGCTGATTTTTGTCATCTGCAAAGGATGATATGAAGCTGTGACTTGTATTTTTGTCTATATCTGATATTAGAATAAGGTAAAGCAGTGGTGCAAGGACTGTATGCTGAGGTTGGAGATGAAGCTTTTAACTGCACTTGGACTCAGTTTTATTTGGTTGACTGTTACTCTTTGTGTTCTGTTTGACAGGAAATTGAGTATCCACCATCGTACTATACCAGTTATTCCTATTGACCTCATTTTGTATGCCATCACTCCATGGTCACATTTATCGAATGCCTTTACAAAGTTCGTGTATACAAAACATCTGCATTCTGTTTTTCTTTAAATTTCTCTGTGATTTTGTGATAGTGATAGTGGTCAAGTAGCTGTGAGAGGCATGCTCTTGCCTCTCCGTGTTGGCATGGGATGTGGAGGTCATTGGTCTCCATGAAACTGGTGACCTGGTGAAACTGTGAAACTGACCAATGTTGTTGCAGAATATATTGCAGAATACTGTACATTGAATTTACTGGCAACTGCTTTGCTACACCCCTGACTTATGGTCCACTTAAAATAGATCCTTCTCATTGTCCTCAAAAGATAAGAATGTCTGTTCTTGCCCTAACCATTTCACACACCTTAGTTTCTCTGTCTGCTACCATCCCTTTCAGTGTTGACCTTGGTCCAGAGGTTGCCAACATCTTTGCTCTTTCATCTGGTGCCTTCACTCTTGAACCCACTAATAATTCTGTACTTGACTGGTCCAGCTTGCTCAAGTCTTCTCTGCTTTCACCTTGTCACTTCCCTGCATCTGTATAAGCAAACTTTCTTACCCTTTTTGAGTCACTCTTTGTTGATAGATTTACCCATGCCCCTTAACCATGATTCTCTGATCCCAGCCTTAATAACCTTTAGTATTTTGTACAGTATCTTTACTATGTCCCTCTTTTCTTTTTCATGATGACTATAGTTCAGTAGAATGCATGCAGCTCTTATGACAATTTTAATGAACTGAAACTTTTAATTTTTAATGGTGTGTGTTTCTGGAAATAGATGCTCACCCTGGTTGCTTCTGTGGTCCCCTTACTCTTTCAAAGTTGCTAATACTCTAGTTCTGCTTTTAATCTGATAATTCATTTAATCAGGGACAGGCGGCTTGTGTATGCATACTTCTTAGGTTTACAGTATATTGAGGCCCCCCTTTCCCAAAGGTTCCCTCCCCAGGATGCAGCTCAACAGTTGACTAACTCGTTGGTACCTATTTACTGCTAGGTGAACAGGCATTAGGTGAGAGGAAACATGTCCAATCATTTCTGTCCTACCTGGTATTCCCAATTGCAAGTTGAGGATAAACTCAACTGTACAGTACTACCAAGACCCTGGAATGATTTTTCCTTTTTCAGTTGAATATCCATTTCACTTTCTATTGAATATTGGTAAATAAGTGGTATATTGTTCTATTTATCTCCCTTCATGTCTTCCAATCTCTGTTAGCACCTTTTAATATTTTTGTAGGACTCTGTCCTCCTTTTAAGTGATTTTAACTGTAGACATGCCCTCTGGGTCGATAGTCTTACTAGTGCCTGAGGCTGTATTCATTCCTGTTTGAATCAAGCCGTAAAAAATCTTTCTCTTTGGTCTTCCATATATCTAGACTTAGACTGGTGGGTCCTTGATGACTTCTATAACAGCGAACATTTTCTAATTCTTTATCTCTATTTCCCATCCCCCACACACACTCATTACCCTGATGGCAGTTTGATAAGGCTGATTGGAACCTCTTCCATTTCTTGCTCATCCAGTTTTTTTTTTTTTCAACTTGACCTACTGGATGTTGCCCTTCATTCCTATGCCTTATGTAGACCAAGGAAGTGCATTCATTACAGTTTTGATTTTGAGTTGTTCATCATTAGATGCCTGTAAAAGGCACTAACAAATATGTTTTTGTTTAAGAAGGCCAGTGCATAAGGCCATAGGGATATCCATCCAGCTAAACAGAGTTGGAGATGTTTTTTAATCTTGACTGGTAAAGTAAACACACTTTAACTGGAAGAGTCATAATATTGCAGGCAAATTTCCTCCTGATGTGGTGTCCATTCTTCATCTAATCTTTCTTGGTTTTGGTTGTAAATGAATAGTAGGTTTCCATCTAACCTCTTGACTTCCTTTCTCGTAAGTCTTGTGCTATTCTTGCCCAATGAGTTTTCACACTTGTCTGCAGTAACCTTACATCAATTTCTTCACACCAGTCTGCTGGTCCCTTTGCAAATCCACAGAACCGGTTTCCAACAGAATTCACTACAAAATTCTCACCATCTTTTGTGCACCTTATAATCTGCCATATACAATAATATATGTATAATATTATAGAGCACATATGTACATAAATGTAGGCTGTATCTGTCCATGAGGCTTGGCTCAAGGTGGTGGTGTTCATGTTAAGTAACCCATTATGCAGTGCACCTCACTTAGGAATTTTTTACACCATTATCAAAACAAGCCTAAGCTTTTCAAATGTGTGAGAAATGTATGCTTTTTTAGTTTTAAGAACATGTATCATATCTTCCAATTTGGCTTTTGCAAGTGTCACAACATGACTGAAATCCTGGTAGATTTGGAGGTTTATATGGACCCTTTTCTACCAGTGCCTCAGTTGTAGCTACAATATTCTCTTTTAACTGGAAAAGGCTTGACATTATCTGAAAATATAGTATTTAACCACAACTTGACATTTGAGACAAATTACAGCTTTTCCTTCAAAGCTTCATCTTTGGTTGTAGTGCATAGTATGGCTCGACTGCTTTCACTTCCTCTGAACACCAATAGGAGGGAAATTCCCAGGGTAGTGTTTTGACCCTTTGACTACAGCAAAAAACAGCAGTTGATTGATTAAAATACTGTACACCCTAGAATGCAATAATCTGAACTAGGTCCATGTACCTAAAAAAATATCCAAATCATATAATGTTCAATTAGAACATTTTTGTTCTAATTGATAGGGCCCCTGACATGTGCCCTATCGACTTATCCGTGACGAGCCAAAAATATTACAGCCAGATGTTCTACTGAACTTGAATGGTACTGTAATTAGAAGGCACCTATCTGGAACCCACAGTCAGAGAGTTAGTGGGTATAATGTAAAACTTAAAGTATGCACCAATGTTCATTTGTTGTTATAGTTTGTGCTAACAGTGCCCGTGACTCAAGTCTTTTTAACCCTTTCCATCCTGTGGTGACCTAAATCTAATACAGTACTGGGTATTCCTCATTCTTAGCAGATATAAGACAAATTTTGCTTGGTACTCAACCACGTTAGAGGGATAGATGATCGGGTATTATGAATAATAAATTGCGTACTATTTAGTGTGACCTATTCTCCATGACCTTTCTTCTATTACTGTAACAGGTAGGAAACGCCTAGTAAAGTTATGCATACACCACATCATTTTCTCTTGGGCATGTAATGGAAGAAAGACCTGCACCTTACTGTTGATACTGCATTGCTAAAACATAGTCTTGCACCTTGCAGAGTGTACTGATTTTCAGGATGGTTAGAAGTCTTGCTTTCCCACAATTGCTCCAACATTTGACCCTTCATAAATTAGTGTCGAATCTGATACTTTTGGCATTGATCATCTTGTGTCTTTTTCCCTTTTATTGGCATCTTTAATGTTTGTGAATTTTGTACCATTCTAAGACAGATTGAGCTAAATAATCTCCTAGGCTAGGTACCCTCTTTTGATAATTACTTGTGTTCGAGATGCAGAATGGGCTGCTCCATTTTAAGAGAGCACAGGACCGTGAAAACTCAGGGTGGCCACCACAGTAATTAATGCAGCAAACCGGTAAGGTCACACAAGTACACTTTATATAGTCAGACTTACCACAAGTGAATAAAAGAACATTACATTTTTGCAAGCTGAACATCCAACAAGTTAGGGGGTAAGAACACATCCTAGGATAGGACAAGTTGAGAGAAAGCGTGTTTCAAAAGTAAATTTAAGAGTTAGGTTGTATGCCTAACATTGGAACAGGTAAATGGGTACACCTCAACAATGAAGTGCCCCTGGCAGTCTAAGTTAATATAGCAGTCTTAGAGATCCCTACCTCCAGTGGAAAGATGGGGGGGGGGGGGGTTGAAAAATAGTGGTACCCACACTTGCATTCAACTGGACATTTCTTGCGATAACCAGAATCTCACCAACATGGAGCAAGGCATTCTCCCTATTCCTTAGTCCAACTTTAACAATGCATGTCCCATACAATTGGGAGGGAATTAATAGAACTGTCAGGAAAAAGTGCCAAGCTACTAAGATTATATAGCACTGGGAAGGGAATGGGATAAGGATTTGGGATAGGACGAGGGGAAGGAATCAACCTTGCCCAACCACTTGGACAGTCGGGGATTGAATGCCGACCGGCATAAAGCAAGAACGTCACTCTACCGTCCAGCCCAAGTGGTTGGGTTTATCAAGGGAAAGCGCCAAGCCATTACGACTATATAGCACTTGGAAGGGGTCAGGGTAAGGATTTGGGCTGGGATGGGGGGATAAGGAATGGTGTCAAACCATTTGGACAGGCGGGGATTGAACGCTGACCTGCATGAAGTGAGACCGTCGCTCTACCATCCAGCCCGAGTGGTTTGTCCAGACAATTAAGGGAGGGGAATTGTCAGACGAGTGAGAGCGTGGGACAGTGTGCGCGCGTTGGTACAGAATACCTTGTCTCATAATGGCTTTCCCTTTTTGTTACGGACCCGAGCCCAGCGTCCGAGCACGGAGCAGTGACGACCGCGCCATCTGTGGGTCAGCTCCCGAAACCCCCTCCAAATGGACGACGTCATCTAGTGAGGACGAGATATACTGGCCACAAGGGCTAGTTTCCCGTCCTGATCAGCTCATAACACAGCCGCTGCTGACCTCTGGTGAGGTGACGCTTAGACAGCAACGCCATCTATGGAGTGGATAGGTGGGCGTTTGTGTCTAAGCCTGTAAATGAGGTGCCCTAGAGTGTAACTAGTACTGATGACGTGTCTGATTACAGAGTCGACCTGGGACTGCTGTAATGAACGTTGGATCAGTCTACCCAAGGCAGCCAAAGACTCCACGTGTTTGCTGCAGCAGCTGTGAGTCACCCCCCCCCCCCCCCCCCGGATGAACACTGTGGTGTTAGCCTGCCTGTGACGTGGCAGTTGAGGAATTGTTATACCCGGGACTGACTGGTGGAGAAGACTAACCACTGGGGTGTTGTGGTGAGGAGAGTGATCTGTGTTATCATATGAGGCTCCTGCCTAGGGCTCGCAACCCTAGTATCGGTCGTGGAGTGGCCTACGCAGCGTTGCTGATTGGAACCTGCCGGCTATAGGCTGGATTCGTGGTTGACGGCCTCCACGACGGTGCACCCAGTGGGACTGTGATTTGGCTGGCCTGTGGCCGGAGTAGACTCGTCGAGGGAATCAAAGGATTCATCGTGAGGCCACAAGAGAACCAGGACCACTCGTCTTGAGCACCGTGAACGTCCAGAGTCTTCAGAGGAAGACCACGTTGTACATAATAGTGTTTATACCTCCCCCGTGTGATAATCTATATATTATTTATGGTGATGGTGATAATTATATTATTAAGTTTTTGCCTTTGTCTCCCTTCCCCTTTAATTTACTTGCGTTACGGAGCACACCCCTTGAAAGCCACTACTAGCTTGGGGCCGGATACCCAAACTCTACTATCAGAGAAAGAACCCAGTTGCGACCCGAGAGGGCCGTAACACTTTTTAATAAGGAAGACCTCCCATTCTAATAGGAAATTGCATTTGCTTACACTGGTGCCACCCTGCCCCCCCTTCCTTGGCACACTGTCCAAATTCATACTGCCAACCACACAGGGCAGCCCCTCTAGAAGCAGTCCAGTTACCCAAACAAGAATCCTAAGTCTGGGCACCCTTAGTTGCCACAGAGGAAAACAGACCCTGTCTTCTTACAAATTACGTCTGAATTTGGCCGTTTGCCCGTACGGTCGAAAATAGACGTAATTTAAAATAATAAATTGAAAATTTATATTTTTATATTTTTCCAAAACAGTAAGTGAAGGGTCCTCTGGTAGGTTAGGGCAGGAAATTCTCCTAAAGTTTCAAAACGTCATGAAAACGTTAATTAAAAGTTTCCTTTACTAACCCTACCGAGTAAGCCAGACGACTCTCAGAAAATGGGACAGTACATCACTTTTATGAGCCGATTTTATTTCAAATTACTGTTTGTCCATTTTTGGCCACAGCGCATACAAACGAAAAGTGACATTATTTTGACAGGACGGGTTGAACAGAAGACCCTGTAAATAGCCTGGAAATTGTGTGCAAGTGACCCCTCCCCAAGGTGGAACTTTTGGCAAGAGGGGATATGGTTTGGCAATAAAGCATACTAGCAGTTTTTAACAATTCTTTCACTCAAATGTTAATAATGTACACGAGTGGAATGGCAGGCTGTATGCAACTCAAAAACTATTTTACATACTGGAAGAGCAATAATATAAAGCAAATAGGGAAGTAAAATAAAAAATAAGTGATACTCGCGTTAGTCTTATCGTAAACTGTACATATCTATAATGTAAATTCCGTACAAATCATTACAAACCATCACGTCACGATCCACATAATTATGATTCACTATTAGAAGTCACAGATGAGCTTTGCTAGTTGAGGAAGTGGGGCCTAAAAATCTAAATGGCAGAACTATATAAATAATAAATAGTAGAAGGAATAAGATTTGACATTCTTGTTACAATAATACAGTTCCTAAAAGCAAACCAGAGATGGTGGTAATTAGCACATCCAAAGGGTTACACACTGGTATTAGCATCACATATTAATATAATCATAAAATGCTAGTAGAATACATTAATGGTGTCTTAACATTTCTTATGGGTGATATAAACTCATCATGCATAAGCCAAAGCAAAATGAGTGACAGACTGTAAGAACAGTCATTAGAACATTGTTGCACTCTACTTTACATAAAATATATTAACTAGATAAATTTATTATCTTCAATAAAAGATAATGCAACTCTTTGTTATGGTTTAGCAATGCACAATAAGGTAACCTAATATTTTCTACTGCAAAATTTAACTCGATAATATAATTAAAGAGGCACATTTTAAGTGAAGAGAATATTATGCTTGTAAAGTGTCTAGCTAATTAAGTACTTTCCAGAACATCACCATTTCCATATATGTACTTGAGAATTTGAAGATCATCACCTCTGGTAAGTCCATTGTAATAAGTAGGAAGGTACAGTGCTGGGCTGTCTCCACTCTTCTAACATGGAAGAGATGGGAAGCAGGTCGTGGGGGACATCCTCAGTGGTAAGATGATCCAAGTCTTGTTACAAGACAGAATCAGATCATATGAATACTGCACTATACATCTTATTAGTAAATTATAAGGCAAGCCAAGGTATTATTTTGCATATGCTGTTCAATAAAATGAGGGCAGGAACAGTACGGATACTTTGCCACTGAGGACTGTAGTTTCAATACAAGATATGACTTCTAAATGGAAGGTCTCACAGTAGTGTAAGAAAAAGTACTCAAATAGATGGGAATGTGCAGCAGATACTTCAAAAGACATTTCTTTTTGTAAACCTGACATGTTTCACCATTTTCCTTGGATAATGCCATGAGCTATTAATGACCAGGAATATAACTACACTGTACTACAAATTATATTATGCTTTCCCATCATATGTCATAACTTTGGAAAATCATATAATCTAAGCTCATGTCAATTCTTTTCATATGTAATTACATATCCAAGGAAACGGTGTTTGAAAAACAGAGACAGAAGCTAAATCAAAGAATGGGAACTGTAATTGTATTATGAATACAAGGAATTAGCACTGATGGATAATCTGAAGCCAGAAAGTATTACCCTATGTTCATACTAGAATTAAATTATGATATGGATTTCATAAGCCTCAGGTAAACAGAACATGCCACAGACTTAGTATATATATCACTTTATAGTAACACACTGGATATACATTTCCTGCCAATGGATCATCCATATAAAAAAATTAAGGTGGCTCCAAAGTCGCACTCTAGAAGAACACATTAGGAATGTCACTGTTAGAAAGTGATTACAGAGGAGATGCAAAGGAAAACTATAATCAATCTCTTTAGAATTCTTTTTGTTTTGCTTCGTAAGTTGAGCACCATTCAGAGACAGGTCAAAAGAAAAGATTTCTTTAATGAACATATTAAGTTCCTGTACATATTTACAAAACCTATTTAAAGCTCGGTCACTTTTCCAGTAATTTTGATCACTAATCACTGGATCAGTCACAATCAGGGATCTCACAATCAAGCAAGAATTACAGCAGTACTAAGATACTATTTACTTTCCACGCATTATAAAATTCTGTATAATATAATAAAATAATAAATCCATAGGTATAATAAGTACGAACTATCACGCATAGGATTCTTTGTGTGAAACATCGTCAAGGTCTTCACTGATGGCCGACATTGCTTCGCTGCAAGGAGAATTAGGTTGCTCCATTCTGAAAGGAATTAAAATTTTCTTATAATAATGAGTAAAACAAATTTAAATATTATTTGCTTATTATAAATTATTCATAAACTACTATTAAACTGATTTTTTTTGTAGGTGGTAATACATGGGCTTTAAAATTTGTAACTTGAGAATTGAAAGAAATGACAAGACTATCAAATTGGAGTAGTATACTGTCCTACCATATTACAATTTGAAATATTCAAGGCTGGTTCAACTTTTGTAGCAGATACAAGATAGTTAAATTATTGCCTCGACCCCTAGCCACATTATGTTGCCTCCAATAACCTTACAGATGCCGCTGCTAAAGAGGCTATTTGTTGGTGTCCCAGCTCCCTGAAACAGATTCCATAGTTTGATTTTTCCCAGCCATTCATAATGCAGTCCTCAACAATTTGAGAGATGGTTAGGCATTGGAAATGGGAAATCATGCCTTTACTGTTTTTTTGCCACAGACCTAAATAGTTTTCCAGGCTTGGCACACACTTTTGAAGCTTACAAAATTTAACATAATACCTGATGTCAGCATATTCAGATTTTATAGTAAATATTTTAGTTCATGCCACACCCAAGATGGCAGTAGGAAAGTTTGGAGACTAAATATATATATATGGGGGGGGGGGGTACAGGGGCTAGATTCACGAAAGCACTTACGCAAGTACTTACGAACGTGTACATCTTTCCTCAATTTTTGACGGCTTTGTTTACATTTATTAAACAGTTTACAAGCATGAAAACTTCCCAGTCAACTGTTGTTATTGTTATAAACAGCCTCCTGGTGCTTCGGAGCTCATTAACTGTGTAACAATTGTAAACAAAGCCGACAAAGATTGAGAAAAGATGTACAGGTTCGTAAGTGCTTGCGTAAGTGTTTTCGTGAATCTGGCCCCAGATGTTCATTTTGTTTAAAACAAATAGTTGTTGTATTATAATACAACATTAAAATGTTTTTAGCTCCATTAATTAGTCTAGCCACTCAATGTTTTTTTTTTTTAGTTCTGGAAGCCATTTTGCAGCATGCCTTAGCATCTTTTCCAGTTTATTGATGTGCTTCTTAAGATATGGGCACCATACAATTGCTGCAGTTATATTGTGCAGGGAGATTTATGATAGGGCATGCCTTATTACAAAGTGGCTAAATATTTTTGTTTTGCGAATATTTTGGTAAAATCAGCAATTTGAATTGTCTGTTAGGCGATCCTTTGCTTTGTCAGGTACCATCTGCATCTGGCGAGTATATATTCACCTAGTTGTGTTGACCAAACCACACACTAGAAATTGAAGAGACGACGATGTTTCGTTGAGCTTTCTTGACAAAGCTTACTTTTCGACAAACTAACACTCTTCGTAGTAATCTGGTTCACACTTCTGCTTCTAATGCTGCTGGTGTCTACTCTATTTCCTGTTCATCTTGTCCTCTCCAATACTTTGGTGAAACGGGCTGTACGCTAAATGACAGACTTGAGGAACACAAAAGTGTTAAATTTGCGAACACAAACAATGCTCTCTTCTGTCATATTAGGGATTCTAAGTAGCCTATTGATTGGTTTTCCTCTAAAATAATCTTTCCTGCCTCTACACAGACGCCATCTTGTCGAATCGGCTCTGATACACAACCTACTCAACATGAACCCGAGTTCTGGCAGTGTGGCTGTGGACTCTTCCCTTTCTCAGTATATACTCAAATGTTCAAAACTTTTTAACAAACGTGACCTAACATAAGCCTACCCTTTTCTTTTTCTTGTTTTCTCTTACGATCCCTTTCTTATTCCTTTTATTACACCTTACCTTCCGTACCTATAGCCTTGCTCTTATCTTCTAAGATTTCCATCTCCTCGCCTCTCTTGTCTACTTAATGCCCTAGCCTCCCTCGTCTCATCATAATCATTTGATAATGGTCCATGACAGACCGAAACGTCGTCTCAAATTTTTAGTGTGTGGTTTTGGTCATCATTTTTCAGCCACGTTATTGTGACTCATCCTCTGCACCAAGTTGTGCTTGTGGGGTTTAAGGTCTGCTCTTTTGGCCCACCTCTCAACTGTCAATTAATCAACAGATATACTCTTACTCTTACTCTTTCTTACTCTCTCTTTCTCTCTCTCTCTTTCTCTCTTTCTCTCTTTCTCTCTCTCTCTCTCTTTCTCTCTTTCTCTCTCTCTCTCTCACACACACACACACACACAGGAAACAGCCCGTAACAGCTCTCTAACTCCCAGGTACCTATTTACTGCTAGGTAACAGGGCATCAGGGTAAAAGAAACTCTGACCATTTGTTTCTGCCACTGCCAGGGATCGAACCAGAACCCTGGGAATACGAGTCCCAAGCGCTGTCCACTCAGCCACAGGCTTCCAGGTGTGTGTGGCTATTCTTTGTGTGAATCAATGGTTATAAGGTTAACACTCCAGAACTGCTTAGTGGTTCACAGTGGAGCATAAACATGATAGCTACCATATATATAAAAATGTGAATAGTGTGATATAAAAAACATGTTTTATTGTTCTAATGTTACATTGTGGTACACATTAGTTACAACACTATATCTGAGCATAGCAATGTCCTACACGTTCTGTGTTATAAATAATATCATTGACAGCCCAACACATAGCACTTGAAAAAACCCCAGTATAAACATTAAATACACACACAAAAGAAAATCATGAATTGGTAACATGAGTTTTCATCTCCACAGCTCAGAAGCAAGCTACATATTTTTTGTTTTAACTTTCCTGTGATCAGGGAATGCATTTTAACAATACCAGTACAATATTAGATTTTTTGTGTGTGTGTGTGATCATGGAGTTGTCACTTTAAATAGGTACAAGGAGTTAAAAAATATTAGCAATAAATGAGTTTATCCAAGCACAAATAAAGAATGCAATAATTGAAATTAACACGCAAATACATAAACAATGTAAGGAAATTTAATGAACAAAATCCTGAACAAACCCTAACTGGATTTTGTAGGTGGGGCATCGGGTGCTGTTGTTCACAGTGAGTGAGCAATTCATATATGTATTAGTGCCATCTTGGATGGAGTGGAGGTGGTATAGGATGAGGGGATTGAATGGAGTAAGGAAAAGGGTGCAAGAGGAAGAATAGCTGTAGGCAGTTTCAGTGTTTATTAAGCAGTATTGCACCCTTCCACCCACCTGAACCCAAAAATCACATCCACCTAATCTCTCCTGCTTGCCCACTATATCTTTAATCTCTTCTGCCTGCTTAATCCTCACTTGCCTGCTAAATCTCTCTAGCCCAGTTTCTCAATAATCCCTGATCCCTCAATGTCATCTGCTAACCTATCCGTCTGATTCCTCCAACCCAGTTCAGTATTTCAAGATCCCCCTTGCCCAAAAACACAATCTTGGTACTCAACTATATTCATTGTATGGCACTATAGCCATACAGTATTGTGCTACCACTGCATAAGATCAGCTTGTGTGCTCCAAAAGCATACATAAACAAAAATTGTACATTTATGCAATACAAATAATTTAACCCACCAAAATCTGTTTATAAATTATTTGTGCATCTAAATATGCATAAGCACACATTGTATTACTTGTTATAAGAAAAAATTGAAACAATTTGGCAGTAAATAGCTGAAAAATAACAAATTTATAGATATCCAGATATCATGATAGGTTCTGGAATGATATTACCCTTTTTTTTTTTTTTTTTAGGTTCCCCTGTACGTATATGTGAAATGTAACTACAAACAGTTCTGATTTATATAGTATTGCATGTTCACTAATACAGTTTATGGTAATCACTTTTATATCATGTTTCAAAGACCACTTGTGAATTGTGACATTAGGATTAGTACTATTTTTGCATTCTCGAGTCTACCACAATGCCAGGAACTTCACATAAACTGTAATTACAAACTTTTATTATATTCTTGCCCAAGCATTTTGGATATTATATACTGCATTTGTGGCTAGAAATTGGAAGAGAAATTTAATAATTATGTTCAAGGTGGCATTTTATTGAAGTTAAAAAATTTACTTTTAAGTTATTTTAAATATACTTTAAATACACTGCAAAAATCTCTGGAGCAGGATGGTAGGATCAAACAAGCGTCCTTGGTAACCAGACGTCCTGCTCCATAGATTTTCCTCAAGATATATTACGCTATTGTGGTTTCATTGTGCATAAATTAATTTTATATGGTAAAAATAGGGTTAAAACAAATAGTATTGTTTTTGCTTTGCACACGTTTTATACTGGAACATAACCCATATGCAAGTCGAGGACTTGCTGTATACTTCCTTAGTATGTTCTAACTTATCTAAAATGTCTACACTAACCATTACTGTCTAACTGGACATTTGCGTGTCCAATTATTTAATTTATTAGATTTCCATGAATGCCATTTGAGACTCTGAAACTTTTGTACTATTATTTTCAGCTATTAATTTAATATTGTACTTTATAGTGAATAACAAAAAAAAATTGTATATAGAAAGATTGGGTGTATTAATCAACAATACATGTACCTTATAAAAATACAAATTCTCATTAATAAAGCCATTTATAACTGAACAATATCAAAAGTAAAAAATTATTATAATTTACTGTTTTGTCCTGCCTACTTAAAAATCAATACTTTTGACTAAATATATGAAAGAAAAATCATGTATGCCTTATTTTACCATCATATTACAGGCTCTGCAAAATTACTTTCCTTCAGTTATAATAAAGTTTACCTATTAACTACTAAACAGCCAATTCATGAATTCTAATACCTTCCCTTGCACTGTAAGCTTAGTGACAACATTTAATCAACTACTGTAATGTGCTTAAGGAACTTACAAACATGGGAGAATTATTGTTTTAATGTGTATACCATAACTGTTATACAATCAGTATTCATACTGATTGGACTAGAACAGGTAGAGATGTTTGTTACTTGGTTGTATTAAAATAAATACACAAAATGTTTGCATTACCATAACAAGATAAAATAAATTAACAAAGTAAATAATAATATAGTAAAATTTAACAAGGTTAAGAAAAAAAAAAGGCAAAAATAAAAGGAACGCCATAATTAGGGGCAAAATAAGAATACAAAATTTGATCCACAATCTCAGGAATGCATTATAGCAGTGTAAACACAGTCACAAGATAAGGATTCTCAGAGATAAAGGATAAGCCCTTACTTTTTGCAGATTAGTGCTTCCACAGTTGAGTTTACAACTTACTTACAGATATAGTTATCAAAGTTATATTTATATTACATATACAGTGACCCCCTTACATAAGGCATTTTTATAGAGCATGTTTTTGACAATGTGGTTTTCACAACCAAAACTTAAACTACATGTCAGGATATTAGTTTGAATTTTCACCATTTCACCCCACACCAACCCATCCCAACATTTACTTTACACTCACTTCCACCCATCTACACACTCACGATTATCCACTCACATGCTCACAACCACTTCCACCTCCCACTTAGGAGAGCATGAAAAACTAAAAGAACAGCTGAGAATTTGAAAAGGGTAACAGGGGGTCAGAAATGAGTACATCAGAGTGATAAGGGAAGTAGAAAAGAAATTTAAAAATAATACTGCAGGTACAACAAAGATCAAACCCAAGTTTCTTCAGAGCTACATCAGAAGGAAAAAAATTAGCGAACAAAGGATTGAATAGGGATACAGGAGGACTGAGAATGACAGCAGTGCATGAGAAATTCGTCAGGAGAATCCAGGTAATCTTTACAATAGCTCAAGATGTTCGAGCTGAGAGGGATAGAATCGAACAAAGCTGCACCGAATCTCCAAGATAACCGGAGATGAAGAAAGAAGACACCTGCTGGAGCTGGACATGACTAAAGCAGTCTGTCCACATAGCACTGTAGATACTAAATGTAAGGAAGACCAGAAGAGCTATGAGCTTGCCACCTACTATGATATACAAGAAGTCACTGGAAACAGAACTGAGTTTTGGAAGACAGGTCAATGCACTGCCTATATACACCCCCCCCCCAAAAAAAATGGCAATAAATGACAAGCCAGTACCCCTTACTTATGTAAATTAATGAAAAAACTAAAGAGGTTAGTAGAACATCTGGGATGGCAAATCCTTCTTAACAAACTTGTTAGACCAAAACTCCCAAAGTTTTATGATTTGGGAGACTGAAATTTGGGGATAAAGATGGGTAAACTGAACTGTTTTGGATTGTCAGAAATCCTTCAACAAAGTGTCCACTTAGAAAATACTGCACAAAATAGAGAAACAAGCAGGAATGACAGGGAAGGTGCTCCAATGAATAAAGGAATACCTTCGCAACAAAAGTTATGTTACAGTGAGATGAAACCTCAGAGTGGTTGGATGTTACCAGTGGCATTCCACAGGGAGTCAGTACTGGGCCCAATCCTATACCTAATCTCTGGAATGACTTACCAAAGTTGATAGATTCCTCCTCAATGTTCACTGATGATGAAAAATTAGGATAAATATAATGGGAGACCAAGAAACTAAAGGATGACTGGGACAAAATGAAAGAATGTGTCTATTAGAGCTTATCTTGAGCAAGTGCTAAGTAATGATGCTGGGAACATGAGGCCAGATGTTTAGCCATCTTTCAGAAACATAACACATTACGTAAGGGGTCCACTGTACTGTACTCAAGATGTTCCCTTCCCTCTTTTTAAAATTTTGTCCTGAAATTTAAAACTCATTATAAAATCAATGTACTGTACTTAAAAAGATAATGTGAATTAATATACAAGTTGGCACAACTTGCTACTGTGTTTAGAGGACCTGATAATGGGAAAAACATAAAAGAGGTTATTTTAGTTCAGAATAAATCCATATTAACACAGGCTCAACTTGCCAAGAAAAAAGAAAAAGGTGAAATTGTTATGTAAATTGAAAAGAAAATTATTTACACTTGTTAGATATGGAATATCATTTTTATAAGAAGCATTGTTAAGCAAATAAACAAGCATTAGATTTGCATCATACCACAACAGTTCTCCTTAGTTATTACAGTATAAATAATACTACTAATAATAAATAAAAAAATAACTTACTATATATAGACTATTAATTAGGAAACTATTGTGGTGCCAAAAATCAAATATTTACAAATCATCACAGATTATGCACTGAACACACCAACAATTACCTGTCAAGCTGCTGCACTTCAGAAGGAGGAGTGCGAAGCGTGGAATTTGAGGAGGACCTCTGATGCCTCAAGGACGCAGTCAGATAAGAACTCAAGCTGCCGTCGCTGTCGCTGTCACTAGAAACAGATAAGTATGGTCCAGGAAGGTACACACACAAGAAGCCCAAGCCCGGCACCAGACACAAGCCGCATGGCACGTAAGGCACACAAGCTTTGTTAATTCACGCAAAAGCTATTCACTCTATTCCCAGCCAAGGTAAACTGTGAAACATGCTTTAGCTAAAAATCATCTTGGATGAGAACAGGTGATGTTATGGTTGTGTTTGTTTTAAATTTTGTGCAATAATCACTGACATTACAAGCAGTTTGTACATAGCAAAAATTAGTTTTATCATTGTTACTCTTCATACAGTAGTAACAAATCATTCTTAATACATGCTACATTATGTATATATGCATGTGACTTGGAATGTAGTTAGACTGCAAGCTTTTGCAACATTATGATCATAGTACTCAGTTAAAATATAACATGCAGGACATACATGGGCAGTGAGTTAGACAGAGGTAAAGGCTAAGAGTCAATATTAATAGGTTGAATTAAAGATGACTGCCCACAGGTATAAGGATTTAGGTTTTAACGACAGTAGAGTCTAGCTTCTATGATGACGAAAAAGTTGCCGAGTAGAAACTTGCAGTCAAGATTCTGTGTAGGAAGATGCCATAACCCGCACATCTGGAGTCATAACTGAGCACAACCTCAATGGTTGGCTAGCTATTTACCTGTCGGATATGTCGGAGTCCGAGTCATTAATGTCACCCTGGATAGCCTGCTGGAGATCCTCAATTCTCTTGAAAGCCAGTTTAAGGTCACTTTTGAGAGTGATAACCTCAGAATCTGCAAGCTCAAGCTGCTTTTCAAGCTCGCCTTTCTTGTTTACTGCATCAGTGTGCCGTTGTTGTAAGGCTGATAAGTCTTCCTTCGCTTCACGCAACTGACGCCCAATCTTCTTGCTCTGTTCCAGAGCTTGTGCCTCTTTTTGTCGTGCTGCATCACAGTCACCTGACATTCGCTCAATTTGGTCTTTCAACCTACCAATTTGACTCTGAAAACAAAATACAAGTATTAATACTACAAATACAACTACTGTATAACATACAAAATTGAACAAAAACATTTATTTGCAGTAATGAAAGATAGATAAAAATCTCAAGTCAATTACGACTAGAACTGGCAAAATTGGTTTATACAAATTTTTAATTTTCCTCAATTAGTTTCCTCTACATATTGAGCTTACCTCTAATCTTTGCCTAGTAGTCTGTTCCAACTCTAACTTCGATTCTATTTCTTTAATCTTCATCTCAAGGCGACGTTGAGTGTGGATATTAGCAGTCTCGCCTTCAAGGACCTCCACCTTGCTACTCAGCTCCAACATCCGCTCTTGTAGAACCTATCAAGGATGAATGATGAAGATCTAAAGATTGTACAGTACAGTATTGTATATAAAAATAACTTACTGAAAATATGCAATATGCAATTTATTCAATTTAAATCATTTTAAAACCCTGAATCTATTACCGTAAGTGGTCTAGTCAAACCTTCCATAAATATAATCAGTAAAGTAACACTTTTGTGTTTTACTTCTTAATGCCTGTAAGTGATTGATCTATCATTTTGGTAAAGTAAGAGCAAAATAATTTACATTATTTCTATAATCATATTGAAAGATGTTATTTGCATGCCGAGCTGCATTTAAGCAACTCTTTAAATGTTTATAGAACCATTGTCTTATTTTATATTTTAGAGAGATATACAGTACTAGTAAATTATTGTGCTCATATAGGTGGGGGACAAAATTAATAATTATCGTATTCCTGGTATGTATGTGTTCCTCACACAAGGGTTGAAATGGGTGAGGTAGGACGAGCATTAAATGTAAATGTTTATCAGTTTCACATTTATTCATCAGTACACTGTATATATAGTCTCATTTTAATTTAATGTAAATATTACCAAATGTATTGTATTACCTCTATTGTACTGTATACTGTAAACAAATTATTCATATTATAATTTTTGGAAAGAATGAAATCAAGAGTAAAGGACAAAGATTATAGATTTCAGGTCATCTTTAAGATTGAACCATTGTTTAGGGTTGGTACAAGTGATGGAACTATGGAAAATATTATGAAGGATATTCTAGTAGCTGAGGAGAAGGCAAAAAAACACCTGGAAGAATTAGATGCAAGTAAAAGCAATAGGACCAAACCAAATTTCACCATTAATGTTGAAAGTGGCAGTTGAGATACTGTGTGATCCTCATATGTCTATAATGTGCCCTTAGCTAACAGGCAACTCCCCAAAATCTAGAAGATATATATAAACTGCTGAATAACCTAAAATAAAGTAGAATATCTGGAGGAAAAACATTTGTAACCGAGAAATTGCAGGGTTTCAGAAGGACAAATGCATGCCTGACATACATGATTGAGTTCTGCAATAATGTCAACAACATATGATAAAAGAGAAAGAAAGATGGGTTGATCTTTCTAGATTACCAAAAACTGGACATTATGCCATACTGAAGGCTGATTCTCAAACTGGAAAATAAGGCTGCATGTATATTTGTAAATCAGTAAATATAAGTGTATATTTGTAAATCATATTTACACTATTTTCTAATACTGTACTATATTATACTTAATTATAATACTTGATTACTATTTATTAAAATAACACTGGGGTTAGGAAGGAAAGATTGACAACGATTATTTTTTTTAAGCATTTTACAAGTAATCCAATATCTTTTCCAAATAAAAGAAAATGGGATTTGAGTAGTTATGTGAGTTTAAGGGCTATCAATTGATGGCAGAGGAGAGACTTCATAGCTTGACTGTAGTATGCTGCCTGCCAAATGTTAAAATGTAATACAATCCACCAGACACCCCATACAAAAGTTATACATGACAATCATCAGTGCCTAAAGGTTATTCAAGGGAGTTGCATATTCTCAAAAGTTAATACATATAGGACTCTAATATGCAAGTATATCCAAGAAAGCATTGAGAGGTGAAATGAGACGTATTCACACCTGTTTTTCATGCTCCAGCTCGGCAATTTGTTGTGACTGCTCAGATAAAGTAATTTGGTCAACAGAAAGCTGTGAAACACACGACTTGTACTTCTTCATCACCTCAGCCACTTCCTCTTCACTTTCTTCTAGCTGAAATGAACAAATTTCTTTGAGTTTAGAAAAATATTTAATTTAAAATTAAATAATCCAATACCGGTACTGTATTTAATTTTTTTTTTTAACTTTGAATACTATAATATACTGCTCACATTATAAGTATTACCTGTGTTTGTATTTCAGCTCTATCCTTGGCAACTCTAGCACATCTGTCTTCTGCTTCCTTTTTGGCACGTTGAGCTTCTTCCAGCTGAGTGGCCAACTCTTGAATATCTGCCTCTGCACACTGTCTGGCCTTAATAGCTGCTGTCTTTGCAAATTCTGCATCTTCCAACTGTGTAGAAATAATAGCTTAATAATTTAGTAGCAGCACTGTTTACTGGTTATTAATATAGTATTTATTATTTGTGCTTGCAGACTCGAACTATTAGCTCTTGAACCCCACCTTTCTAACCAATCTATTTTTCCTCTATTATGCTTTCCGTACTACATATATTTCTCTCTTAACACATGCCAACACACACACACACATCCCCAGGAAGCAGCCTGTAGCAGCTGTCTAACTCCCAGGTACCTATTCACTACCAGGTGAACAGGGGCACCAAGGTGAAAGAAACTGACCATTTATTTCTGCCTCAGCTGGGAATCGAACCTGGGTTCTTATGACTACGACCCCCAAGCACTGTCCACTCAGCTGCGAGGCACCCCCTCCCCATAGTGTATTTGTACCTTGCATTTGAAGATTGTGCAGGAAAAATATTTATTGATATTTTGAGGCACTTCAATTATATGTACATCAATGCTAATAAAAAAAAAGGATTTTCAAGTACAGGTACAATATTAACACTTTTAGTGGTCGCTATTGTTTAAGTTCTGCTAACTCATATGCCTTAATCAGCAGACATAGCCTAGTGTAAGATGAAGTACACAAAACTATTAAAGTATCTTACACACAGGAAAGAGAGAGAGAGATAACATGCCAAATACCTGCGTCTTTAGCTGTCTGACTAATAGTTTATGGCCACCTTCAGACTGAGACTTCTCCAACATAGTTTGTGTGTCACGTAAGAGCGCTTTAGTTTTCTTTAGCTCCTTCTTCAGCTTGTGTATGTAGTCTTCGTCAACATGAGTGATTGTTCTATCTTGTAATTCATTTATTCGCCTCTCTTGTTCGTGTTTCTCACGGACAAGTAGAGTTCTTTCCTCATGCTCATTTTCAAGCTGTGCTTCCAAGGCTGTTATTTACAGAAATAAATATAAACCTTAAGTTTTATTTAATTCCTATGGAATATATTGCTGCATATACAGTACTTTTTATTTTTTCAAAAACTTAATTCAAGGTAATTAACACTTTCGCGCTCCGTGGAAACTCGCGGTTGACAGGGGGATCGTGGCCCCTCCGTGCGGGTAAGCGCGCGGTGACACTCAAATGTGTATACTCGTTCCAGTTTTCTCACCTTAATTCTCGCGCTACGTCGCTCATTCTGGTATCATTGTGTTCGCAATTAAATTCTCTACAGGTGTGTATAAATATAATGTCCAAAAGCCTAGCGTGACTCCCAACAGCAAAGCGTAAAGTCGGCAAAAACGCACAAAATCAGTAACATGTGCATTCTCGTTCCATTTTTTTACCTTAATTCTCGTGCTACGTCGCTCATTTTGGTATCATTGTGTTCGCAATTAAATTCCCTACAGATGTGTATGAATAAAATGTACAAAAGGCTGGAGTGCCTCCCCGCAGAAAAGCCTAAAGTTACCCATGAACGAGCACCATTTTGTACATTGCAACCTAATGTTCAACTCGTTCAATTTGATAACATCAAATTTCGTGCTACGTCGCTCGTTTTGGTATCAAATTGTTCGCAATAAAAAGGCGATTATTTTAAAACTAGTCCCAGAATAATAGAGCAATAACTGGATTTTTAACAAATATTTTAATTCTGGACGCTAATCATCACAAATTTATTTATATCTTTCCAGTGTTCTGACATAAATATTTGTGTTACATCTTTCATTTTGGTATCAAATTGTTCGCAATAAAAAGGCGCACATTTTAAAACAAGTCCCAAGATAATAGGACAATAAATAGAATTTTAACAAATATTTTAATATTCAGACCATAGACCTATTTATAATATTTCAAGTGTTTGGACATCAAGTTTCATGTTATATCTTTGATTTTGGTATCAAATTGTGTGCAATCTAAAGGCGCTTATTTTAAAACCACTACCAGATTGATCTGATAAAATTTAAATTTTTAAAAAATATTGTAATGTGTGACTCAGTATTGCGTCGTTGGAACACATTCAGTAGAAAAATAAATGACGAATTATTCAGTCTGTGGAACGCGAAAGTGTTAAACTGAGTACTCAAAACAAAATTTAGGATTCACTATATATTCACAATTACTCAAAAATACTGTATATGGATATAATTTGCAACTTATAAAATATAAAACCATAATGACTATCTTCAAGACAGATAAACATATGGTTCTTAAAAAATGGAAAGCTTACCTTTAATCTTTTTCTGAGCAGAAATTCTAACTTCCTCAAGCTCCTCCTCACGCTGTGAAATCTCACGACGATTCTCTTTCCGCATCTGCTCAATACTCATTTCTAAACGAACTTTTGCCCCTTCCAGCATCTGAACTTGTCCTGCCAAGTCATCCAACTCTTCCTCCTTAGAGAAAGAAAAAACAAATCTTAAGCATCTATAGAGTTCTTAGCAAGTTAATCCAATAACAGTACAAAATTAACAAAAGATATAGAGAGTATAATAAAAGAATATTCAAAATTTGCTCCCTATCAGTAATATAGCAAGCCAGAGGTATGAACTGGAGTTGAAAGAAATTGAGATGCTACACACACACACACACACACACACAGGGCTACAACTGATGATGACTAATTTTCAATTTTTTTTACCCTCTTTTTCAAGTTTGAGATACATTCTTCAATGATATACAGTATACGATAATGAATATGAAGGAACCGGGTCATTGCACTGAGCTACAAAGTACTATATAATGATAAAAGTAGGCAGAGAGAAGATAAGTTAAGGCAAAGAGAAAAGGTGAGAGAAAAGGACAGGAAATTCTAGAAGGAAGGAAATGAGATGGAGTTAAATATTGAGGTAATTGGTCAAATTCCAGCAGGAATTAGATGGATTCTAATGTATGTGTGGGCCTGTAGGGCTGCTGCAAACTACAGCCTGACCAAGTTATAATCAAACAGGTTTGCCCAGGCTGGCCTTGGTAAGTAGTAAACTCTTAAAACTAACTAATGGTAAATTATAGGCAAGGAGAAGAGTGAAGGTGGACAAGGGGAAGGAAAAGAGAAGGCTGAAAGGGAAGGCCAAGCGAGAAGGACGAGAGAAGGCCTAGAGGGAAGGAAGAGAGAGAAGGCCGAGAGGTAAGGAAATGAGAAGGAGGAGAAATGGTTGGAAGATCGCAGAAAGGGGAAGAAAGGAAGAGGGGAGAACTAGAGAAGTTAGAGAGGACTAGAAAAGGTAGAGGACAGGAGAAGATAGAAAGTACAAAAGATGATAGAGGGGGTAGGAAAAGAATTTGGAAGGGGCAAAGGGAATGGGGTGAAGGGATGTGGGGAAGAGAATAGAGAGGGAGGGAAGAAGAAAGAGGAGAGAAGAGGAGGGAATTGGAGGTAGATGGGAAAAAGAGGGGAGAGAGGTAGAGGAGTAGGAGAAAAGGAACAGGGAGGGAGGAGGGAGAATACAGGGGGTGGGAGATGGAAGGAGTACCAGAGGAAAGGGGTTTGAAAATGAGGGGAAGAGAAAATATGAAGGTAGGAAAGGCATAACAAAGGAAAGAATGGGAAGGTAAAGTAATTGAGGAACTGAGAGGAGGATGAGAGAACAAGAGAGGGGAATAACCTTGAAAAGGAAAGTAGATGGAAAGGAGAGGGAGGAAGATGGTAAAAGGAAGGGTCGATTTGAGATGGGACAGGGGAAAGGAACGGTGCCCAATTACTTGGATGGTCAGGGATTGAACGCAGACCTGCATGAAGTGAGACCGTCACTCTACCGTCCAGCCCAAGGGGTTGGACATGGAAAGGAAGGAGAAAGAGCAGAGGAAGGAAGGGGGTAGGGGGGGGGGGTTGGAAGGGAGAATTATTAAGAGGAGATTGGGATCTGCAGACACTTTTGTAATCATGATATCTCTTACATGATCTTTGTACGTATCCGCTCATTTCTTTGTCTCAACCTTTTTTGTTCATTTTTATGACCCTCAGTTAATATTTTCCTTCGAGTTATATATCATTATGAATCTCTCTGCTACATTTATTCTTTATTTCTACTCGCATCTAAATATCAATATGCATCTTGAAATACTGTATTCTAAACTTCCCAATTTCTTGGAAATGATACTGGAACTACTGGAACTGTAGTGGTACCTGGTCTTTGACCCGTAGCTCAAGGTCATGCTTTGCCTTCTTTAGGGTAGCAACTTCTTCTTCAACTTTCCCAGTGAAGCTAAGGTCTTCCAGCTCACGGCTGAGAGATGATATTTTCTCATCCTTTAACTCCAATTCCAGCTTCAAGGTCTGCAACAAAGAGCCAGTTAGTTGTAAATTTTCCCCTTTACAATTTCTAGGATAATTAAAACAAAAAATTAAACTGCAATATGTAGTGTCCAAAGAGGCATCAATCATTCCTTCATCTCCCCAAATTCGGTTCATGGAGCAACAACTGTATGAAATAAAATAGAAATGTGTTATATAAACTCGTCTAACACATTATGACAAGTTCTGTAACAAAATTTTGTTGAAATGTAGTAACACATCTTACTGAAGCTACACCACCAGTTAAGAAGTGTAAAGAATGGATGGATTTATGATAGTGTAATTTTTAGGCCATACCGTACTGTGTATGTTACTCAACCCGAAATATAGACCAGTATCACTAACTGGATTGTCAGTGTTATAGAGGGTCGTAAAATACTAAGGTGAAATTTGTCTGTACTCACACACATACCCCCCCCCCCCCACCCGGACATAGTATATTTTGTCAAAGTAATGCGTATTATGGTGTGGTCAGACAGGCCTAATATTGAACTATAAGTCAAATACACCGACATTATAGATGGCAAGTACTGTACCCATAACAGATGGTGAAAAATTAGTCTACAATGTGAATTTTGTTACTATATTGAGTAGTACAAACAAGTATTGTACATCTCAGTGTGGAGTGTGATAGGGATGGTACAATAATACTAGTTAGCAAGCTGGCAATTTGCATAACGTTTACTTAATCACAGCATCTTTAAATAATATACTACAAAATTGTGAAATACACTGAAATAGGTAAAATAAGAGTCATCAGGTCACCGAAAAAATATTTAGCATTACATTAAATGGCGAGTTGCGATATACAAATAATGAAATGACTGGTAAAAGACATTTTATATTACAGAATAAAGCCTGAACAAAGCTAATAAAAAGCCACAAGTCCTGAACTAGTATAATCTTTGTGGTCAAGTTTAAGACTACTCGATTCTCCAACAGGAAGAGCAAAACTTAATGGCAATAGGTATCTGTGACTCAACTGGACCACAAGGTTTATCCCATAATTTCTCTGATATCCTTTGGCCGGAAGAGGGGGGGGGGGCTTCACACACCCTACAATAGACAGTACAATGCTTGGTCTCTGCAACGTCGGAAAACACAACATGCCCTTCCTTCTCATCACAAAACACCGCGAAATATAGTGTTTTATGTGAATAACTATGAAATTAAGTTGTCCAAGCTATGCTCTTAACACCCATGTGCTGTATGCATAGCTGTCGATGTTAGTTATGCAAATAATAATAATAATAATAATCACAAAGAAATTACATTAATGTGATATATATCAATGAGAAAATCTACTAAGACTAAGTGGGCGCAGGCTTAAGACCCCAGCATTGCCAGTCGCGTACTCTACCACTAGACCACCGCCTTGATTGATGAGGTGGTCCTCATCAAGTTCAAGTTTGTTTATTGAGACAAGAAAGAAATACATCTCAAGTGTATCTCAAGCATAACTGGGTGAATACAACTAGGTGAATACACAGACCCACACCCACCCACCCACCCAGGAAGCAGCCTGTAACAGCTGTCTAACTCCCAGGTACTATTTTCTGCTAAGTAACAGGGGCATCAGGAAAAACTTTGCTCATTTGTTTCCGTCATCGCCGGGAATCGAACCCAGGATAACAAGTCCTGAGTACTGTACACTCAGCCATCAGGTGCCTGTGTATTGAAAGGGGAGCATCAGAGGTAGAATTACTGGTTGACAGTGCCCTCCCGTATCCCTCACATGCTAAGCGAGCTCTCTACCATCTGAGGTACATCCCCATAGTTCTGGAGGTGCCGGGGATTGAACCCAGGGCCTTTCACACAAGAGCCTAAGTGCATAGGGGGGAATTATGAAAAACCCTGGTTAGGCTTCAGTGGAAGCCTCGGGATCCTTGTGAGTGCAGTAGTACTCCAGGTTGCAATTTTTTTTTTACTATGTTATGGTGCAGTCAACTACAGTGCGCCTGGGAACACCCAGCACATTGGTTCGAACCCTCATCAAGGCTCCTGTTGGATTTGTTCATTGATATATCACGTTAATGTGATTTCTCTGCGTAATAATAATAATAGCCCTATTAATATTATGTCACAGATTCTCAACCAAATTCGACTGTAATGCATTGCCATAACAAAGAATAAATTTCCGGGTGTCTAGGGACTGTTGAGGGACCAAGAAAATAGGTAAATAAACTTTGTTAACCGTCTCTTGTAACATTAATTCTGACATTCACATGGGAGGTCAAGTAAATACCTGGCGTGAGGCAACTCGATTGTTAGACAATTATCATTAAAGCCGCCTGCTGACGTGTTACTTAACACTATATATTTTTATTCAACACGGTTGTCTACATGGCTGAAGAGTGTGTAGAACATTTACATTCTTAAGTCATTAGGGTTTAAATGATAGTTTAAATATACACTAGAAATAAGGAAGTATTGTCTTCATTAAATATACTTTTACTGATTACAGGAGATGCTACGTACTCATTAATACGGGACGCTAAAACTAGTTACAGGAAGGGATAATGGAGGATAACATTACTCGCAAATCTAAATGGACAATAGGTAAGTCTACAATAAAGTGTAATTGGGTCAGAGTCATTGTTCTAGATAACCGATACTGTAGTTAAAAGGCTGGGCCCAGGAGCGGAAGTAATTCCAGTCACAAATTCCGATAAATAAGCACAATGGGAAAGGGTTTGTAAAAATTTTTTTTTTTTACAATATTTGACCAATCGTAAAAAAACCTCCAGGTAAAACTTAAATCTTGACCAATTCTCCTGCAAGACAATGTACGTACATGTGACTGTTTTGGCTTTCGCCACGCCACTGTATATATAGTGACTTGTCTCATGCCAATACCAAGAATTGTTAAAGTTGCGTCCCAAGCTATCACGCGAACGTTAGTATGCTCAGATGCTGCATCTCCGGTCAAAATTGTAAGTAACGTCAGCCTAATTAAAGCTCACCCGCCCTTCAGCCATTCGAAAGGCCTAAAGTCCTCGCAATCTATCACTTAGGCTTAGCCAAAGCAATCGGGAAAACATGTTTTGTTTGTCCGCAGTTGATCAAATGAGGATTTCCTAAGACAATTTATTAAGGGTGTGCGTTCGTTTCCCTGCACAATGAAACCAATCTCTCACAACAATGGTAAATTTATACATTTTTAGTTATTTGTCCGTACAGTGATGATTGGTTTACGGAAGAAAAAAACTGGTTGTGTGAACTAAAAAGTAAACAGTATTTCGTTAATAATAAAAAGATAATGATCGACAGTCTTATGATCAATAGTACGGTTAGGGTGTTGTAGACTTTAAAAAAAAAAAAAAAAACACAATTTTGTTAGTGTGGAATTGCAAATTTGTCAAACGTACCAGTAAATTAAAAGATGTTTTCAAGGAAGCCGAAAACAATAGGCAGGCGTATCTCAGATATGAACATTGTAATGAGTACCGAGGGTTCAATAGCTACAGCCTACTGTAACGAGTTCAGGTAATATGTTAGGTTGATTTAATGAATACAAAGTGATGTAACGGGGGAGAGGGTTCAGTGATGGTAATGGTCATGATAATGATGGTTGTAACTAATTTTCCAGCAGTTTCGCTTCGTTTTCATATACTCAAGAGTATACCGGTCAGCAAGGTGGCCTGCTATCATAACTCGCATTATATTCCCTATTTCTAAACTTACCCTTTACCTGTCTTTCCATCCTCTTTGCTCCCGAAAACAAAAAAGTATACCCCTCTCCCTGCGACGATCTATAAAATATTAAAATCTACCAGGGAACTTCCTTGCACCACCATACACAATTCTACAAAAAGTTTCAAACCTATACGCTAATGCATTTGTCCAAATATCCAACCACACCATATTATAAAAAAAAAGTTTAATCACATCTGACCGCGTAGATAAACTGTTACGACCACCTTTGACCATAAAATCATTAAAGATAAAAGTGCAGCTCTGAGCGGCAATACTGCTACTTATTTTTTTCGAAAGAAAACCGCGTGGCTGCCACATTCTTAGGAAACACACCACACAAGAAAATGTGCACACACTGATAGATGTAAAGGATGTAAATAAGGATATCTGCCACAGCAGGATACTGCCACTAAATAAGAGACGAATGTGCACACCTGTTGCTGCCAGAATCTCCTGACGGCGGCGTTCCTAACAGGCGTAGTCAGCTTGAGCGAGGTTGTCTCCAGCAGAAGGGGGTCCTCGAGCTCGTTGTTACCATTTTCCTCCCGCAGCGAGGAAGTAGACGATTCCGGGGAGGTGGGAGATAGGGAGAGCGTGGGCGTAACGTTATCATGCACACACACATTGAGGGGCTGTGACATGGTATGGCATATCGAGGTCCCGTTGTGAATCTCCTCTGAGAATAGCGGCTCGGCGGGCAGCCCTTGTTGGCCTACAACAGGTGATGGAGGGTGCTCGCTGGGCGGCTCTTCTGGATCCTTAGTGTGGCTGCCGCCCCAGCCCTCCCACTGAGCGATACGCTGCCGTACCTCCACACTTGCTCGCTTCTCCTTCATGTCTGGCTTCACGCGTGCTAGATGTCACACACACAAGTCTTAAGCAACACCACCTCTAATGTCCCAATTGTACCCTGCCCTCTGTATCAAAAACCATTTTAGGCACTAGACAACAAATTTCAGTAGGCCGATGTGGTTTTTCAAGTGACAACTTTTGTGTGAGCCGTACTTAAAAGACTTCTTCAAACAAATAGGTAAAAATAACTTACATTACCGAATGCGCACAATGCAAATTAGGTACACCTTAATTCTAAAGGGGAACTATACGTGCCTTAATTTGGTACTATGACCATCATATTTACGGTCGCACCTTAATTTCGGGACAAACTAAGAGCAGATAATTTTTTTTGTCATTTTTATTTAAAATGATCCTGATCGTGGGTTGCAGATCTGTATCAGCTAAGGAATGCTACTGCCGCGTACGACAAACTTTTTCCTCATATCAGCTTGGAGAACTGCAAGTGTCTTATGACTCTTATGACTCCTTAAATAGTCTCATGAAAAATAGGTAATATGAAAAAATTACGGCCAATTTCTTTATATTCTATAAATCCATAACCAATGACGATAAATAAATTAACTTACAGCACATACACTATCAGCGCAATCAGTATTCCTTGTGCTGTCACACTGCAACGTGAGCGGTCAAGATAAACTGGAATATTTTATGTAGTAATAAAAAGAGTACTCGTTTACTTAATTTGCTCTGAATACAACTAAAACGTTCTATATGATCTTTGAGAGAATCAAAGCTGTCATACTACAACATACAGCGAAGATGTAAACTAAATGTACAGCTTTACAAGCCCAAGTGTACACGGCCAAGCCTATCATGACTGGTCGCCACGGAATATCCTGACTGCTAAACATTGAGGCTTGTATTACATGTGACATTCACAGGTCACACACCCACACCCAGAAAACATTGTGAATCGGAAGACTGAGCACCGGGTGAAAGAGGTCAACTGTCAGCCAGGGAAAAAAAATCTATTCACGAGATACATGCGTTTATACTAATTCTCACCCAGTCAGAAGCAACTGATGGGGGCAAGTTTTTTGCATTCTTTTCTTCTCATGTCTAGTATACTTTTGTGAGTGTTGATTATTAACCAGCGTGCTTATACAATTTTTTTTTTTTTTTTTTTTTTTTTTTTTTGGAGATATATACAAGAGTTGTTACATTCATGTACAGCCACTAGTACGCGTAGCGTTTCGGGCAGGTCCCTGGAATACGATCCCCTGCCGCGAAGAATCGTTTTTTCATCCAAGTACACATTTTACTGTTGCGTTAAACAGAGGCTACAGTTAAGGAATTGCGCCCAGTAAATCCTCCCCGGCCAGGATACGAACCCATGACATAGCGCTCGCGGAACGCCAGGCGAGTGTCTTACCACTACACCACGGAGACTGTTGGAGACCAACTCCACCAATGGGAGTTGGATAGTCATCTACGGGTTACTATAGGATGTTAAAAGCCGAGACGAGACGTCTGACAGACATTCAGCTAACCAATATAGCAGACACACTGCCTCACTCATGTGTTCCTAGAGTTACCACATACATCAATATGTTACTGCAATACGACAGTAGAAAAAACTCATCCTACATAACTTTCAATAATATGAACGTAAGTGTGGCTAGTAAGAGTTACGGAATTACGCTAGCAATTTCAAGAATATTATCACAATTTCTAGAATATCATCACAATTTCTATCAATTCAGTAATTCATTTTCAGTCAATGCCAGTCTAAAATCCCAACTGGGATGGCTGTTTTCTTTCACTCACTGGCTCTTCGCTAACGTTAAGATCTCTCTTCAAACAAATTATCTTTCCTTTCTAAGTCAATGCACTATTAAATTTGTTTGAGATCAATTAATGTAGCGTAAAGAGAATCACCAAGAGCCAGGAGCGACACCACACACACACCACCACAATCACCTCCGTGGGCGGACTGACATCACTGACTGTGTTTCGTTTGACCTGGCGAAAACGGGAAGCCTGGATATTAAATGGCGAATATAATTTTAGAAGCTATAGTTTACTTTGGAATTCATACCATTTTAAACCGATTTATTTTTCAATACTACTTTTATTTAAATATCACCAAATTATCGTACGTACGACCAAAGGAATAACACTTTGTCACTCGTCAACATTTGAATCTGCCTTGGTGTGCGCTGGCAACTTGGCCATAACAGTACTACTTCCCTAGTCTCGCCTCTGCTGCCGCTGCTTATCCACACGACACCCTAACACCACGACCCTCGAGCTCGTCTCATCCAGGTCACCAGGGAACACATGGGATAATACGCCCTGGTCTGAACCTTACAGGTGAGGTAGGACTGAGTCCTGCCTCACCTGGAATAAGTATTGCTATATACCACTACTAGTTTTACCTTGGCCCAAACTATGACTTAAACATCTTGCGCGTGCACATACACCACCACCCACGGGATGGGTATGGCGTGCATAATAAAGAACTTTAATTGAATTGCACATATACACGTGCACGCACCCACAGAGTGAGTATGGTGTGGTGTGTACATACATTTCTCTCTTACACACATCCCAAGGGATGCAGCTCGTAGCAGCTAACTTACAGGTACCTGTTTACCTCTAGGTGAAGAGGGCCATCGGGTGAAATATATTTTACCAATTTGTTTCTGCCTCAACCGGGAATCGTACCCGGGCCCTTAGAACTACGACCCCTGAGCCGTGTGTGTGTGAGCCTGTGTGTGTACGTACTCACCTAGTTGTGTTTGCGGGGGTTGAGCTTTAGCTCTTTGGTCCTGTCTCTCAACTGGCGTAGAGATACCTGAGCCTACTGGGCTCTTATCATATCTACATTTGAAACTGTGTATGGAGTCTGCCTCCACTACATCACTGCGTAGTACATTCCGTGTGTTAACTACTCTGACACTGAAAAAGTTATTTCTAGCGTCCCTGTGGCTCATTTTGATACTCGGTTTCCACCTGTGCCCCCCTTGTTCGCATACCACCCGTGTTAAACAGTTTATCTACCCTGT